GATCAATGTATTGCTAGGCATGAGCCAAACACTCCCTTAGCTTTCCTTGGCTAACTGCTTGTGTTTACCTCTTACCTCACATTTCCCCTTCCACACACACACTCACAAGAACCAGAAACCTAAAGAATGCTCATTAGAGCTCCCCTTTGCGCGTGCTATTGCTCATGTCCTACTGCTGCCCCACCCTCATCCATTACTCTTGAGGAGTGCTTGGTCTTCCAGTTGGTTAGGATTAGGTTCTGCTGTCTGTGGCAGAAAGCCTAAAATAACAGTGGCTTGAGAGACTAAGGATTTGCGTCAGTGAAGAGCACATGCTTAGTGTGCACAAGGCCCTGGGTTTGCTCTCCAGTGTGTACACACACACACAGCACCAACACACAAATTTTTTTTTTTTGTGCGTGTGCATTTCTTTTTTTTTTTTTTTCATTTTTCTTTTATTATTCATATGTGCATACAAGGCTTGGTTCATTTCTCCCCCCTGCCCCCACCCCCTCCCTTACCACCCACTCCGCCCCCTCCCTCTCCCCCCCAATACCCAGCAGAAACTATTTTGCCCTTATTTCTAATTTTGTTGTAGAGAGAGTATAAGCAATAATAGGAAGGAACAAGGGTTTTTGCTAGTTGAGATAAGGATAGCTATACAGGGCATTGACTCACATTGATTTCCTGTGCGTGGGTGTTACCTTCTAGGTTAATTCTTTTTGATCTAACCTTTTCTCTAGTACCTGTTCCCCTTTTCCTCTTGGCCTCAGTTGCTTTAAGGTAACTGCTTTAGTTTCTCTGCATTAAGGGCAACAAATGCTAGCTAGTTTTTTAGGTGTCTTACCTATCCTCACCCCTCCCTTGTGTGCTCTCGCTTTTATCATGTGCTCAAAGTCCAATCCCCTTGTTGTGTTTGCCCTTGATCTAATAATGTCCGAATATGAGGGAGAACATACGATTTTTGGTTTTTTGAGCCAGGCTAACCTCACTCAGAATGATGTTCTCCAATTCCATCCATTTACCAGCGAATGATAACATTTCATTCTTCTTCATGGCTGCATAAAATTCCATTGTGTATAGATACCACATTTTCTTAATCCATTCGTCAGTGCTGGGGCATCTTGGCTATTTCCATAACTTGGCTATTGTGAATAGTGCCGCAATAAACATGGATGTGCAGGTGCCTCTGGAGTAACAGTCTTTTGGGTATATCCCCAAGAGCCAACACACAAATTAACAGTGGCTTGAAAAGGCAGGAATTTGCTTTTCTCCAAAGTAGTCCAGGACTGCCCTCCGAAGAGCCTGCTCCTTTTATCTTGTTGTCATTCTCAACCTGTGTCTATGACCTCATGGCTCAAGATGGCTGTTAGCTGGAGTCATTCCAAGTACATTCCATTATTCAGCAGAGAGGAGAAAAGAGGAGAAGTAGTGGCAGACTGTCCTATTAAAGATAATTCCTAGGCTGGGCACAATGGCTCATTTCTGTAATCCTAGCTACTTGGCAAGCAGAAATTGGGAAGATCTCAGTTTGAGGCCAGCCCCAGGGAAAAAGTCATCAATACACCCATCTCAACCAATAAGCTGGGCATGGTGGTACATGCGTATCATCCCAGCTATGGGAGGCTGGGGTAGAGGAAGGCACAAACAGGAGGATCAAGGTCCAGGCCTAAATACTCAGTAAAAAGAACAACGCTGGAGGTATCACAATACCCGACTTCAAACTATATTACAAAACAATAGCAATAAAAACAGCATGGTACTGGCACAAAAACAGACATGAAGACCAGTGGAACAGAATAAAGGACCCAGCTATGAAGCCACATGACTATAACCAACTTGTCTTTGATAAAGGCGCTAAAAATATACGATGGAGAAAAGACAGTCTCTTCAACAAAAACTGCTGGGAAAATTGGTTAGCAGTCTGCAAAAAACTGAAACTAGATCCATGTATATCACCCTATACCAAGATTAACTCAAAATGGATCAAGGATCTTAATATCAGACCCCAAACTCTAAAGTTGGTACAGGAAAAAGTAGGAAATACTTTGGAACTAATAGGTATAGGCAAGGACTTCCTCAATGGAACCGCAGCAGCACAGCAACTAAGAGATAGCATAGATAAATGGGACTTCATAAAACTAAAAAGCTTCTGCTTAACGAAATGGTCTCTAAACTGGAGACCACCCACAGAGTGGGAGAAAATATTTGCCAGCTATACATCAGACAAAGGACTGATAACCAGAATATATAAGGAACTTAAAAAACTAAACTCTCCCAAAATTAATGAACCAATAAAGAAATGGACAAGTGAACTAAATAGAACTTCCTCAAAAAAACAAATTCAAATGGCCAAAAAACACATGAAAAAATGCTCACCATCCCTAGCAATAAAGGAAATGCAAATTAAAACCACGCTAGGATTCCACCTCACCCCTGTTAGAACAGCCATCATTAGCAATACCACCAACAACAGGTGTTGGCGAGGATGGGGGGGTGGGCTGTTGGTGGGAATGTAAACCAGTACAACCACTCTGGAAAAAAATTTGGAGGCTACTTAAAATTCTAAACATTGATCTACCGTGTGATCCAGCAGTACCACTCTTGGGGATATACCCAAAAGAATGTGACACAGGTTACTCCAGAGGCACCTGCACACCCATGTTTATTGCACCACTATTCACAATAGCCAAGTTATGGAAACAGCCAAGATGCCCCACTACTGACGAATGGATTAAGAAAATGTGGTATCTATACACAATGGAATTTTATGCAGCCATGAAGAAGAATGAAATGTTATCATTCGCAGGTAAATGGACAGAACTGGAGAACATCATTCTGAGTGAGTTTAGCCTGGCCCAAAAGACCAAAAATCGTATGTTCTCCCTCATATGTGGACATTAGATCAAGGGCAAACACAACAAGAGGATTGGACTTTGATCACATGATAAATCGAGAGCACACAAGGGAGGTATGAGGATAGGTGAGACACCTAAAAAACTAGATAACATTTGTTGCCCTCAATGCAGAGAAACTAATGCAGATACTTTAAAGCGACAGAGGCCAATAGGAGAAGGGGACCAGGAACTAGAGAAAAGGTTAGTTTGAGAAGAGTTAACTTAGAAGGTAACACACATGTACAGGAAAGCAATGCGAGTCAACTCCCTGTATAGCTATCCTTATCTCAACTAGCAAAAACCCTTGGTCCTTCCTATTATTGCTTATACTCTCTCTTCAACAAAATTAGAGATAAGGACAAAATAGTTTCTGCCTGGTAGCGAGGGGTTAGCGGGGTAAGGGAGGGGGATGGGGGGATAAGGGAGGGGGCAGAGTTAAAGAGGGAGAAATGACCCAAACCTTGTATGCACATATGAATAAAATAAAAAATTAAAATTAAAAAAATATTTTTAAAAAAATTAGGAGAATATTAAAAAAGAAAAAAAAAAAAAGGTCCAGGCCTACCCCAGGCAAAAACTGGGCAAAAATGTGAGACCCTGTTCAGAAAATAACTAAAGCAAAAAAGGGCTGGGTTAAATGGTAAAGAACCTGCCTAGCCAGAGGGAGGCCCTGAGTTCAAACTCTAATATCACAAAAAAGAAAAAAAAAAAGATACTTCCTAAAAATTGCACAAAACATTTCCATCTACATCCCAGACATAATCACCTGGCCATACACAGCTGGAAGGGAGACTTGGATGTGCAGCAGTCTTTATACCACGTCTTGCTAAAACTCAGGGACTGTTACTGAAGAAGAGGTGAACATCTGGAAATGATAAGCAATCTGCCAGGCTCCCACCTCTGCTTCTCTCCACAACTGATTCTTTTCTCCACAAATCTGTAGACCAGCCTTCTCTGTTCATAGTCTCTGACCCGTACACCTTCTGGGGTGGTCATGATATCAGGTCTTAGCCCAATTTTGCAGGTCTTTTCAGTTCCAAAGCAGCACAAGGTACAGCCAGCTCAGCCTCTGTATCCTACTGTAAATTCCAGAAGAGAACACTTGGTTGCTTCTGCTGGGTCAGGTGATCACCTCAGCTCTGAACCAGTCAGCTGTGGCCAGGAACTTGGCCTTTAGGATGGGATGGAGCAGTTCTCTAAGTGGAGAGTGCAAGTGTCTCTGCTAAGCCTTTGTCCAGCTTTACCTTGACAATGTCCTTCCCACTAGGTACAGTTGCCTGCTTGTCCTCAGGACAGCAGTGTATTTTATATCTTTACCCCAGAGCCTGGCAACAATCTGGCACCCTCAATTTTGAGGGTAAAACAAACAATCTATTGTAGTCCTTAGCTAGGTGCTGGTGGCTCACACCTATAATCCTAAGACTCAGGAGGCAGAGATAAGAAAAAACCAAGGTTTCAGATCAGCCCAGGCAAATAGTTTACAAGACTCTATCTTGGACATACCAGCACAAAAAAGAGCTGGTGGAGTGGCTCAAGTGGTAGAGCACCTAATAACAAGTGTGGTGAGGTGCTGAGTTCAAACCCTAGTACCACCAAAGCAAAACAACAACAATGCAGTCCTTGACAGATTTACAGAAGAAAAAAAAGGGAAAAGGGCCAGGGCACCACAAGGACCAGCGCTCCTGACCTCCAGGGCCTGAAGCAATTTCCCAGAATTACCCAGCTAGGTTTAGTTTCTCTGCCCAGCTGTTAAATACTCACACTGTGCACACCCCTGCACAGAACTACAGAGTATCTTTCCCAGATGTGGCCCATGAGGGCCTCAGGCTAGAGGATACTTGCTGTACCACTCAGAGTCCCTTCCCTGCCTTAGCCTTACTTTCTAAGCTCAAAACTGGGCCCCTTTGATGTCCTATCCTGACTAAGCTCAGCCTGGTTGAAAATAGGCAAGATGTGAAACAAGCCCCATAGCCATCTGCCCCGAGCTGCTCTCAGGAAAGGGCTGCTGTGGAAAAGAGCTAATGATCCCCTCTATTCTTCTACTCCTGAGTCCTACCACCTTTCTTCTTGCCTCCCCCCAGTTCCCTCATGTCTCTATGTGTCTCTTCTCTCCTGTCCCCCCAGGCCTCGAACCCTCTGTGGCAGTCCCGGGGCTCCACTGCTGTGTCTTCAGGAGGCCGCTTCCGCTGCCCATCTTGCAGGCATGAGGTCGTCCTGGACCGACACGGGGTCTATGGCCTGCAGCGAAACCTGCTAGTGGAGAACATCATTGACATTTATAAGCAGGAGTCCTCCCGGTGAGCTGGCAGGGCCTCTCACCTCTCCAGTAGGGAGGGCTGCAACTCAGCCAGGGAACCACCAGAGCCAGAAGGGAGGGATGGAAGCAGAACCTGCTCTTCAGTTTAGAGATGAGAGACTGGCCCTGGGCAAGAGGATGGGTGGGGCTTGTCCTAAGTCACCCAGGGAAGGTGGTCTCTGCTTCCCTGGCCAGAGCTTCATCCTCAGCCTCTCCTCCTGGGGTAGGGCTGCAGTCTACCTGCAAGAGCCTCGACCTTGCTAGGCCTCCTTGACTTCCTGTATGGAACGTCCTTGCCTCTAGAATATGAATTCTTCTTGGATCTGGTCTCCTTTACCTCTGAGCTCCTTCTGTTCCCCAAATTGAAGTTGCTTGCTGGCTGGCCACAGCACTGGCTGCAGGGGCAGAGAAGGCAGTGGTGGTTGGTAGAGGCGGGCATATGCTTGGGACTACCCTCCTCCCTTTCCCCCCTCCCGGGCGTGGCCCCTGAACCTCACTGCTACTCCAGGCCACTGCACTCCAAGGCTGAGCAGCACCTCATGTGTGAGGAGCACGAGGATGAGAAGATCAACATCTACTGCCTGAGCTGCGAAGTGCCCACCTGCTCTCTCTGCAAGGTCTTTGGTGCCCACAAGGACTGCGAGGTGGCCCCACTGCCCACCATTTACAAACGCCAGAAAGTAAGAAGCAGGGGAGGGAGGGGAGCGAGGCCCGGGACAGGACCAGCCTCCTACTCCACTTGGTTGTAAGGTCTAGCAGATCAGGACTAAAGTTCCAGCTCTATGCTTGGCCCTGAGGAAGTTACTTGACCTCTCTGGTCCTCACTTCCTCACTTGTAAAACAGGGTTAAAATTCTGAGAATTGTTATAAGCATAAAATTAGATAATGGATGGAAGCAAAGCCCTTAGCACGGTGGACTAGATGCTCTCAAGGACCTCTCAGTAGCACACAATTAATTTCTACATAAAACATTTTAAAATTGGATTGGCTGGCACATAGGAAGTAGAGCGATCAGTGGGCAGGGAACAACGGTCAATAAAGGACACATTCCTTACCCTTGGGAACTCTGCTGCCATTGTATCTCTTTGAGCATCTCTTAGGTCAGGAGTCCACAGTCCACAGTCCCTCTCATCTTTCACTTCAAACCTTTGTGGAGACCCCTCAAGTAACTCGCTCCAGGCCAGTGCTTTGGGGTCCCAGTGAAGGTCTCTGGAGGGATCGAAACCTATTCAGATCTTCAGTCATCAATACTGAGCATCTCATACCAGATACTGAGTTGACTGAGGAGGAGTATCAGGACAAATAGCTATAATCTCAGATGGCCTGGGCTCCACAGTAGACCCTGTCTCAAATTTAAAAAAAGGTAGAATTTTTAGAAAGCCAAACAATAGAATATCAAAAAATAAAATAAATGACTTATTACAATGGTTAGCTGCTGCGGTACTTGGCAGGCGAGGCAAGAAGAGAACAAGTTCAAGCCAGCCTGTGTGCCATAGCAAGATCTGTCTCAAAACAACCATAAACAAACTGAACCATGCAGCTTTCACACAGAACCAAATAGATCTTTTAGAAATTAGAATATAACTATTGGACTAAAAATATCCAGTGGATGAATTAAGTGATAGATTTCTCTGAAGAGAGAAAGAGATTAGTGAACATGGCAAGAGGATTGGAAAAAAAACAAACACCCAAATCAGAATGTAGCAGCACTGGGAGATGAGAAAGTTGAGGGTAAGACAGTGTAACATAAGTCTTATCAGACTCCCAGAATGAGAGAATAAAGAGCATGGAGGAGAGGCAATGTTAACTGAATGAGTATTGTTAAGAATTTTTCAGAATCAATAGAAAACATGAATCTACAGATGAACCATCTAGTTGTGTTTGGTACATAATGGATATTTGGAGAATGTCTACCCTCTTTACATTTGATAGTGGAGGGCTTATTCTCTCCTCTGCCCTCTTAAATCCACAGAATTTACTTCCATATTCTTAGACTTGAATGGTTCTAAGTCTTCTAGATCTGGGGGTGGAGTGTCTAGATCTGGGCAGTCTGCACCTAGGCAGTCCTGGGGGAGGAGTAAGAGGGCTACAGCTGCAGGCCATGAACTCCAGCTCTAAGAGCTGACCTGTGTGTGGCAGACTGAGCTCAGCGATGGCATCGCAATGCTGGTGGCAGGCAATGACCGCGTACAAGCTGTGATCACACAGATGGAGGAGGTGTGCCAGACTATCGAGGTGAGTCTGGACTGGGAGGAAGGAGGGAACACAAATGTGCTAATCTGGCAACCCCAGCTTTAAAAAAAGCAGCTGTCTGACTTTTGACCAGAACATTTCAGAGCTCTTGGAAGTGGTGGGGTGTGTTTAGCTAGGCTGCTGGGTTTGAATCCTAGCTTTCCTGGTCATTAGTTTTGTGACTTTGATCCAGTTACTAAACTTCTCTGTGCTTTGGTTTTGTTTGTTTTTAATTACACAAAACAGTGATGGTAAGGGAGGTGGACACAGGAGGATTTTGAGTTCCAGGCCAGCCCAGGCAACTTAGTGAGACTACTTAGTGAGTCTCTAAATAATAAATAAATAAATAAACAAGCAAACAAGCAAGCTGGGTGTGGTACACATCTGTAATCCCTGCACTCAGAAGGGTGAGACAGCAGGATAGTGAACTCAAGGTCAGCCTCAAACAATAGTAATAGTAGCAATAATATATACATATATATATATTTTTTGTGGCACTGGGGCTTGAATTCAGGGCCTACACCTTAAACCACTCCACAAACCTTTTTTGTGAAGGGTTTTTTTCAAGATAGGGTCTTGCAGAACTATTTTCTGGGCTGGCTTCGAACCGTGATCCTCCTGATCTCTGCCTCCTGTAGGATTACAGGCATGATCCACCTGTACCCGGCCAATGATAAAATTTAAAAATAGTGAAGATGGGTTGGTGGAGTGCCTCAAGTGGTAAGAGTGCCTGCCTAACCATTGTGAGGCTCTGGGTTCAAACCCCAGTGTCATACACACACAAAAAACCCACCAAAAACAAAAAAACAACCCACTGATGATGATAATTATATAATGGCTACCTTATTGGGTCTTTTTGAGAATTAAATGAAAATGAATACCAATCAAAACCAGGTCCAGGGATATAGATGGCACGTAGTGAAGCTACTTTGAAATGTGTTGTTACTGTTACTGTAGAGATCTGGGCAGGATTCTATCTCCTTAACTGATGGTGAGACCTGGCTCAGGTCACTTTCCTTCTTGTCTCTCTATGAGTTCCTCTAAGTGGGGAGCATCCTGCTTTCTCAGCCCTGGGGTCTCAGCCACACCTTCCTCATGCTCACTCTGGTCTTTCAGGACAACAGCCGCAGGCAGAAGCAGTTGTTAAATCAGAGGTTCGAGACCCTGTGCGCTGTGCTGGAGGAGCGCAAGGGTGAATTGCTGCAAGCACTGGCCCGAGAACAGGAGCAGAAGCTGCAGCGCGTCCGCGGCCTCATCCGTCAATACGGAGACCACCTGGAGGCCTCCTCTAAATTGGTGGAAACCGCCATCCAATCCATGGAGGAGCCACAAATGGCGCTCTACCTCCAGGTGGGCCCCCGGTGAGGACAGTAGCCACGTGCAATGGCTGGAGACCCAGGTTCAAGTTCTGTCTCTTGTACCCACCTGTCCCCACGGCCTTGACAAGTCACCCACTCTGCGCTCGTTTTCTCTTAAAGAATTGGGCTATGCATCCCCACCTACCCCGTAGGACTGTGGTAAGAATCCGAAAGGGGGCTTTGCCAGGGCTGGCCCAGTGCTCACTCTCACCCTCCTTTTCTCCCCTGCAGCAGGCCAAGGAGCTGATCAATAAGTGAGTAGGCGGCGTGGGGAGGGGAAGGAAAGGGCCGCGCGGTTTCTTCGGCTGGGAAAGGGCTTGAGGGTGCCCGGGCGCTTCCGCTGAGCCGCTGTGGCTGCTGCAGGGTCGGGACAATGTCGAAGGTGGAGCTGGCAGGACGACCTGAGCCAGGCTATGAAAGCATGGAGCAATTCTCCGTGAGCGTGGAGCACGTGGCTGAAATGCTGAGGACCATCGACTTCCAGCCGGGTGAGGGAACCAGGGAGGGAGGGAGGGACTACGTATTCAGGCCCTCCGTATGCGGGCAGGGGGGTGGCACGACGGTCCGAAAAACGGGGCTCCACCTCATCCGCCTCTTCCACCCAGGCGCTGCTGCGGAGGAAGAGGATGAGGAGGTGACATTGGAAGGAGATGAGGGCAGCGCAGGGCCAGAGGAAGAACGGCAGAGCGTTCCAGAAGGTGAGAGTGACCAAGAGGCTTGAGGTAGGGGCCTGGCCAGCACGCTCGTGTCCCCTTCGGTGATCGCCCTTCCTGCAGAACCAGGGCTGACTTGTCGCCGCCACTCCGTTTAAATGCCACCCAGAGGAGCGCCCCCTAGCGCTCGTAAAGGCACACGCTCTTTCTCACCATTCATTCCCCCTGGCCTTTGGCGACCAGGTTGGGTCCGCAAGTAGTGTTACCGGGGAAAGGCAGTGAGCTGGGCTGCGGGGCTGCCTTGTTCGTTTGGCGTACTCGTCCACCAAACTATCTTTCCCGGGCACAGGCCTGCACTGACCCGATCCCGGTGGAGAGCCCGCGCGCCTTGCGCCAGGGTGGTGGAAGATCTGCGCAGAGACCACCGCACTGCCCAGCTCGGCACCTCACCTCGGGGAGGGCCTCAATAAAGGACTCTTGCACCCCAGACCTGTATCTCCTTTCGCTGCCCATTCCTCAGCTTCAGGGGCGACCTCACCACCATTCTGTCCTTCCCTAACTTGATACTCTTTGGGGAGCAGAAATGAACCCTCGTAGGCATCTTCTTAATGCCGGGGAGGCATTAAGTACCCTGGGAGGAGTGTCCAGGGTGGTGTGGAGGTGCCGGGTCCTCAAGAGTTCCGGGATTTTGGCTGGGGGAGGGGAGGACGATGGGACCCCCAGGGACCGGGCTGAACACCGCTCTTTTGGACATCCTCCACCCCCAGTATTGGGTCTCTCCTGCCAGCTTGGGTGGCCCCACGGGTTCCCACCCTGTTGTGCTTGCCCGCGCCCCCACGACAAAAGCCAAAGGCTCTTCAGCACTTTTATTAAAAAACAGCCTCGCAGGGAGTGCTCAGGGCGTTTTTGGGCCGCTCTGCACCGCGGGACTGGTCAGTTCCGGTCGCGCACGTCCCAGTCCCAGGGCTGGGAAAGGGATCAAGGTTTTCGTGGACCCAGACGGGTCGATCACTTGCCCACCGAGTCGAAAATGATGCGGTTCTGCTCAGCGCGCTCCCTCTGGCTTTGCGTCCGGGCCAGCTCCAGCAGGGTCCGTAGCAGGTGGAAAGTGAGGTCAATGGACAGGGGAGGGTCGTCCCGTCGCGGCCGCTTACCCGCGGTCCCGGATCTCCATTGCGCTGGCCCTGCGCGGCGCGGGAAGAGCTCCGCCAGCAGCAAGAGGAGCGCTCGGGCTCCACCACCCTGGCTCCGCGTCCCGGGTCTCCATTGCAGATTCGGGTCCTGGACCCGGGTCTCCGCCTCGGGGCTCCACTGGCTGCTCCCAGGGCGCAGCTGTGCCAGAAGCAGCAGCGCCACCAGCAGCGCCACGCATCCCCTCTGCCTCATGATGCCGCCGGACCTGGATACACAGGGGCAGCATAGGGTGAGGTGTGCCTGGGGCAGCCGCAGGTGGAGCGACCCCCATCCCGCACACGTCCGCTGCCATGACCGCTGCCGGAACCCTCCGGTTACTGCCCAGGGCCCACAGCTGCCCACCAGTACCAGCCGCTGCGCCAGTCCTGTTCCACCCCTCTCTCCCTCCCTCCCTCCCGGCGGGTCCTGGTGGGTGGGCTGAGCGCAGAGTCGTCCTGGTGCTGAGGGAATCTGGACGGTTGCTGTGAGCCACTCACAGGATGTCGGAGAGCGTCTGCCTGGTGCAAGGCAGAGTTCCAGTCTCTGTCCCCCGGGACGGCTGAGGACGCCTTAGGGAATACGGGGTCTGTCCCGGGACCGCCGCCAGCCTTATATAGAGCCAGGACAGCTCGGACTGACGTCAGCGAAGAACATGCATTGCTTGTAGAAGCAATGACACCCGTGGCTTCTGGTCCAGCGGTGTCCAGCCCCCGGAGGGGCGTTTCTTGTGACACTAGACCTCGTGTCTCAAGTTAACGTTGGAAGCAGCATTTGACCAGAAGAATGAGAAGCTGGAGATTACACAGGGATACACAAGAGTCCTTGCCCACTTAGATCAGCAGGCAGTGACTAGGGCGCGTCCCCAGGCCAGGCTAGTCCTGGGTTTCTCTTCTGAGGCATACTAAAGGAAGGCGGGGCCGTGGGGCTGTCCATGGTGCTGACCCTCTCCTCTGCCTCTAAGAAAGGGGTCAGAGGTTGTGGGAGAGCCTTATGCTGCTCAGACCCAGTCCCTAGACTCCGCCATCAGCTTGGCAAACTGAGTGTGTGCTGCTGGCACTCAGCCAACACTGAGTCTCACCCAAAGGCCCTCTGCCACAACTAGTCTTCCAGGATTCTTGACCCAAAATCCAAATTCTGCAGCTGCCTGCCTGAGATGCTATATAAAAGAGGATCTCTGGCTTTCAGTACATCTGTTTCTGAGTTTGCCCAAACTGGTAGCTTAACAAGGTCAATAGCAGCAGTCTTATTATGCCTTTCACCTTCTAGTTAAGATCACTGGGTAGGAAATAAGGAAACTTGGGCTCCAGTTTCTGCCACCAAGTTATGATTTGGACAGGTCACCTCACTTTTATGAACCTTAGCGTTCACCTCTATAAAAGAAGACTGGGCTTGGAAGGCCTACACTTCTTTCCAGCTTAGTTCTTAGTTTCTTAGTTCTCTGCTAGGTCTTACTCATGACCTCTGAAGGTTCCAGAATAAATATTTACTGAGGCACCTAAAAAGAGTTGAGAGGGACCCAAAGAGCACTAGGACAGAGAAGGGTTAAAGTAACACTTGTGTCTATGAGAAATGGGAGTATTATTCGTTGGCAATATGGGTATAAAGCTGGCAAGGTCAGATGGTTCAACAAATATTTATGGAGTATATGTACTGTGTGGTGGGAATAAGGCTACGCTCATGTGTTGTATGATGATGTACGATGGTGGCCCCATACAATTATGACAGAGCTGAAAAATTCCTAACACCTAGTGACCCAGTAGCTGTCGTAGCATCATAGTGTAATACGTTATTCATGTGTCTGTGATGCTGTGATGCTGGTGGAAACAAACCTACTATGCTTCCAGGTGTATAAAAATATACAGCATTTATGTGCACTACATAAAACTTGATAACAATAACTCACAACGTTACTGGTTTATGTATTTACTATATTTATCATTGGAGTGTACCACTCCTACTTGTAGAAAAAGAAGCTTATAAACAGTATGCCATGTTATGGTGGCAGCAGCCTGATACATCTTGTGGGTACTGTATTTCTTGTTTGCATCAAGAGGTCACATAAAGTGACTGACTCTTGCCATCTAAGTTTGTGGGTTTTTTTGGGGTCTTTTGCAGTATTTGGGTTTGAACTCAGGGCCTACACCTTGAGCCATTCCACCAGCCCTTTTTTTGTGATGGGTTTTTTTGAGATAGAGTCTCACAAACTATTTTCCTGGGATGGTTTTGAACCTTGATCCTCCTAATTTTTACCTTCTGAGTAGTTAGGATTATAGGCACCAGCCACCGGCACCCAGCTAGGTTTGTGCAATCACACTCTATCATGTTCTTGCAACACTGAAATTGCCTAATGACACTTTTCTCAAAAAAGGCAATTTCACCCTACGGCTAAGGGTCTGAGTGACTTCAGAAGCAGTCAGCTTACATTTCACAGTGCTAATCCAATTAAGTTCTGACCAGCCACCCCACCCCATAAAAACTGATGTGCCCACTTAGAGGAGGTTGTCTGACCATTCTAGGGTCAAGTTGAATTACTGCAAGGTGGAAACGATGGAGCAAGGCAGAGTTAAAGCTGATGTGCTTTCCAGGATAGGTAGGAGTTCCAGATGACAGCAACACACTGGACAACTGCCAACCTAAGGAATAGGAATACCACTGTGAAGAGGAAGAACACAGAAGGGTATAGATGGGCCAGGGTAAGGCAAGTGCAATGGAAGAGGGCTTATTCTGAGAATTTCCAGATTTGGGTCTCCTTCCTTTAGCCTCTCTGGAGGGAACGTGTGGTTCAGATCAGAGGATAGGCCACTTAAATGCTGGTGCTTTCCCAGAGTGCTGCCTCCTAGAAGAAGACCTCAAAGTTTAAATATTCCTGGCAGCTCTCTTGCCATACACAGTTCTGTCATCCACACCCCTGTCCAGGCCCCTTCTAAATACATTTTTATGTCCATCCTGTAGCAGCTGAGATTTCATCTTCCAAAAATGTGCTGCCTGCCATATAAAGTAGTACTTTATTTATTTTAAATTAACCTTGCTCTAATTTCAGAGTACAACAAAGGATTCAAATGTTTAGGATTTGGCCCGTAAGTCCACATTCCTTTTAGCTATGATGTTCACGTAAAGTTTGACCACGGCCCTTCTGAAGAGTTATATATTTTTCCTATTCCCCAGACCCCTCACCTGAAAGCATTTTAACAACTCGTGAATTCCCTTCCCTTCCTTCCTTCCTCCTTCCTTCCTTCCTTCCTCCTTCCTTCCTCCCTCCTTCATTCCTTCCTCCTTCCTTCCTCCCTCCTTCCTTCCTCCCTCCTTCCTTCCTTCCTCCTTCCTTCCTTCCTTCCTCCTTCCTTCCTCCTCCTTCCTTCCTCCCTCCTTCCTTCCTTCCTTCCTTCCTCCCTCCTTCCTTCCTTCCTTCCTTCCTCCCTCCTTCCTTCCTCCCTCCTTCCTTCCTCCTTCCTTCCTTCCTTCCTCCTTCCTTCCTTCCTCCTCCCCTCCCTCTCTCTCTCCCTCCCTCACTTCCTTTCTTCCTTCCCTTCCTCTCTCCTTTCTTCATTCCCTAGTACTGGGGTTGAACTCAGGGTCTAATGCTTACTAGGTAGGCACTCTATCATTTGAGTCACTTCACTGGGCTTGTTTTGTGTTGGGTATTTTCAAGTTAGGGCCTTACAAACTATTTGCCCAGGCTGGCCTTGAACCACAATCCTCCTGATCTCTGCCTCTTGAGTAACTAGGGTTATAGGTATGAGCCACCAATGCCTGGTTTCAACTCTTTCTCATTGTGGTTCAGCATCAATCTTATTATCAGGGCAAAATAACACTTCACAGTAAACTAACTGACCAGGTTCCTGCCTGGTTTTTAGGTCTATCTTTTTGTCTAAGCTAGGCTGCCAGTGCACTGTAGATAAGCCATCAAAGCTGGAGAACTAGGTGGAATGGAGAAGCAGGGTCCTCTCTAGAACAATGAGTGAAGGTCAGTGGGAGACACTGCAGGGCAGTTTCTGTAAAGGGTCAGAGGTTCTGAATAAAATGCTTGGGAGTCTGAGGAACTGTGGCCAGGACAGCATGTGTGGGTAGGGGTCTGAAGTAGGTCAAGGTTGAAATGAGAATCATTTTTGTCTCCAGGTGTTGGTAACATAGGTCTTTCTTGAAGGGTGGGGTAGGGATCTGTCATACCTGTAATGCAGAGGGACCAGGTAGAAATTGGCTAACTGCACAGCAGGCCAGAGCTATAAGAAGAGAATGTGAAGGTCAGTGGCTGCCTCCTCCACCAGATCCCGGGACTCATTGCCCTGCCTGACTCCACCCAACTTCTACACACAAGGAAAGGCTGAAGGTTAGTAATTCCTTGAGCATGTTGCCTGCCTGGGGAGTGAGAGAATAATCCCACAGAGGAATTTCTATGCCAGGAAGACCCCAATCCCAGGGCAGCTGTTGACTTAAGGAAGCAGAAAGGGCAGCTGAGGGGTCAGCTCTTACATAATAGTTGGTGATGAGTGCATCAGGATAATCCTGCGGAGAGAGAAGGAAAAATTAACATTCATATGTCCACACAGCTACAGCCTCCCTGCATGAATACCACACACGGACTTCTCCAAGAACACACTTCTGCTCTAACTCTCCTCAGCACCTCTCCTCCCTGGTTTGGGACTCTCCTTACACTTCACCTTTGCCTGCCTCCTTCCCCTGGGGCAACCAGCTTTCCAGTCAGAGATTCGCTCACCTGCTGTAGTTTGGCCCAATTGTCCTGGGCTGATAGTCCATTGAGTGTCCCTACCAGAGGGAGGAAGCAACCCAGAAAACACGGGGCAAAGCCCCCCTAGGGAAGAGAAATTAAAGCTCTGTGAGTATGCCAATTCCCCAACTGGGCTTGCCTTTCCCAATTTCCTTTTCCTTAGCTCACCTGGTCTACCAACATCTTCTTTAGTGCATCCACCTTGGTGGTGCCAGGGATGAAGCGGTCCAAAACTCTGTACCAGCCTCCTACTACAGGGCCCTGAAAGTAAACCCCAGATGGGGCAGCAGGATGCAGTGAGGGATTTTCTATCACAAAGCTCCACCCCCAAGCATCAGAATCCAAATCCTGGGGAAGGGAGACACTAAGGAAAAAAGAGGGCACAGCCTGGGCTAGGTATGAGAGGCCAAAGAAAACTACAGGATGATGGAGGACAAATTCCACTGCCCAGTGTACCAAGGCCCTGTTGCAGCCAGAACTTACCACAAAGCCACAGCCCAGGAATACCATGGTCACGGTTCGGCCTGTCTGGTGTTCCTGCAGACCCCGCCTCTCCACCAGCTGCTGTGAGATAATGTCACCTAGGCCCATCAGGGACCCTGTGCAGGGTACACAGGTGTTATCAGGATATCTCCCCAAAAGGTGTGTCTGCCGACCAAATGGGGCTCTGGTATTCTGAGCCCTATGGCTTCATTCTGGGCAAATGGCCAGCCCCTTCCTACTGCTTTAACGCCTCTACTCCTCAAGGACGGTGACAGATGTTCTGTCAAGAAACTGGGATGAATAGGCCAGGGCACAAGAACTCTGCATTGAGTGGTAGAGGGAAGTCAAGTCTGAAACTGCAGACAGAAGGAGAACTTAACATCCCAGGGCTGAGAACTATAGACGATAAGAGCTGAAAAGTCCTCATAGATCATTTCATCCTGACCCTCTTTTCTTTTTCCTTTTTTTCTTTTGGCAGTACTGGGGGTTTGAATCCAGGGCTTCATGCTTGCTAGGAAGCCCTCTACTGCTTCTGCCACACCTCCAGCCCGTCTTACTTTCGAGGTGTGGAAATGAAGATCCAGGATCTCATATAACCAGTGAGTGCAGAATCAGGTGACAGCCAGGTGGTTTGACTCCTAGACACTGTTCTTCCCAGCATACTACGCTATCATAAATGATCCTGTAGAAGAATAAGGAACTCTGTTTCTTTTCCTCCAGGCCAATGCAAGACCCTGGCTAATGTCCTTCACCTTGGTCTTGGGGTCTCTATTTGCAGAAAACAGCAAGGATGACTCTTTTTCTAAAACAAGAGTACTCAATTGGGCCCAGGCAGGAAGATGACTCATTGAGATGGTAAAAGTTCCCATGAGGAAGAGTCCTGGCCACCTATTTGCACAATCAGCCAAACCCAGGCTCTCAGATTGAGTTGGCAGTAGATAGGGATTAGAGCCGTTTCACCATGCCTCTGCACCCACTTTCCCCCCCTAAACTGCACAGACATTCAGCTCCAAGCAGCCCTGACCAGTCACCCTCGTCCCCAGAAATCAAGACAGAACCATCACTGTTTACAAAGCCCCGACTCAGTCACGGTGGCGTGATGGTTTCTAGCAAACACACACAGAGCCACTTGGGAGGAACAGTATGATCTCCAGCTCACCCATCTATTTTACTGAGTAATGAGAATCCCCTCCAGCTCTGAAGCCACCACTGTCCCTATGCCCTCAATTAGCCCTGCGCAAACACATCCTTCATCCCTGTTCCTTGGCCTGGAGCTGGCTCTGACGTCCATCCTGGCTGCACGCTTAGATGCTCTGCCCTTCCCCACACCCTCTGCACAGCCCCACCCTTAGCAGCCTAGGCAGGGGCAGCTGGGGAAAGCTGGGGACTAGGGTTGAGGATGGGTATCCCTAGCAACCTGAACCTAGTTACAATCCCCCTCCCCGGCATACCCATCAAGGCAGCCTTGCCTCAGCCCCACCAAACTTCCAGAGTAGTTCTCAGAATACTGCTAGTCATAGCCTCTTTGAGGGCAAAGACAGAATCCTAGACACTTTTGTTCTCCTATTCCCCATCACACCTAATGGAGTCTCTGTGAGATGCTTAGAAAATAATCAAAGGAAAAATGTCAAAAGTATAGCTCCAAACAACAGGACTGCTTTGGGAAAAGGTATGGAGAACTCTAAGCTTAGTATGAAGAACCACATGTCAGGCTCAGGTGTCAGGACAATGGGAGTTGAGGGCTGGTTCCCCAACCCCAAGCAGTTAGCACTTACTTCTCTATGCCCTGCCCCACAGTGTGGGGTCACAACCTTTATTCCCAGGTAGAAGAGGGAACAGCTGCAGCCACACATAGATGAAAGAGTGAGGCACTGGGTGAGTAAAGGGACAGCCTGATTGTCCTCTTTGGTGGATGGATGGCTACCATTTACCATGTTCAACCCAGTCTGGGAGGTATGTGGTTACATGTCTATCTAGTGATAAGGAAAGAATCTCAGAGATGACTCAGTAAGGAGTGGAGTTGGGATCAACTCAGGCAAGAGGAGCAAGGATGTCAGATCATTTCCAGGACAGGCAGAGGCAGGCTCAGAGGACAGTAGGTGGTCAGAGACACCTGTCCAAGTAAGCTCCTGAAGGGCCCACATATCAAAGATGCTTCCAGAACTGATGCATCTCTTTACTCCCCAGACTTCTATCACCTCTTTCCCTTGTCACCTTGAGGGAAGGGCAGGCAGCAATATTCCTGGGAAAGAAATAGTCAAAGACAGACGTAGGTTTTCATTCTTTATAACTTGCCAACAGTCACACAACAAGCTAAAGGCAGAGCTGGAATGAAAATCCAAGTTTCTGACACCATGGTCTTGGAAACCTACAGTCACTGAGAAGGATGGCCCCAAACTGTGTCCATCAAGCCCAAGGAGCTACCAAGTGACAGGGCAGCAGCAGGAGTGAGTGGGTGGTGTGGAGCTCTGTAGCCCCTGCCAGCTCTGTTCATTTCAGATAATCAGCACCCAGAAGTTCGTCCTCTGCCCACAGACAACTAGAGCCCCTGGATCTGCAGCAACTCCAGGATGAGCTAAGACTATGGTCCAAGCAAAGAGCAAGGCCTACATTTCTGGCCTAAGAGACCCTTTGAGAAGGAAAAACTCAGACTCCTCACCCTACTTTCCCCTACCCAAAGCCCAAACATCCACACTACCCCAGTCTCTGGGAGACTGCCTGGACATATTTGGTTGGGCTGGGTCTTCTGGTACTCTGGCTCCCCTCTCCTTGGACTTAGGAGGTAGGGCTGAAAGCCCATAGACACATAATATCTAGAGTCCTGATGGGACAGGGCAAGAGGCTGCTGAGCAGTGATGCCCTAACTCCAGGCTGGGCATAGAGCCCAGTGAGCAGACGCTGGTGCGAGTGTGACATCATGCCCTTGGGTAGGTGCCAGTTCTCATGCCATCACTGCCCATCAGATTCAGGAGGCAGGGGAAGTGAAGCCTGCCTTTGGGCACAAATCTATTTGAGACCATCCCTTGCCCGCTAGTGGTGAAGTCTCGACTTCTCTTCCAAGGCATAAGTAGAGGTAGATTCCCTACTTCCCCTACTTTATTCCCCAGCTGGCTTTTGTGTGGAGTCTCACGTACAAGAAAATAAAGCATTAACAGAAGTTGAGAAGGCAGAGTGGGGGAAGTAGCTTCCTGGAGGTAAAGGAAGTATGTCCTTGAGCACAGGAGGCTGGTTCTGCAGGTAAAGATATTTATTGGTTTACGGCCAGCTGGCAGGCTCAGAAGCCTCCCACCACTAAGACCTGCTTGGTTGGGGTAGGAGTTTGATCTGGTCCAGGGCCCAGGGGAAGCTGAAGCCCAGTGGTCAGGGGAAAGTAACATACCCTGGGATGGGTCTGGTAAGTCTCCTCACTCCTGACCTTAACCATTACTGCTAGAAAAACGAGACATAGCTTGTCAGGAATCTAAGCCCAGACCAGCTGGGACCACACTGAGCATCCTGAGGCCCCAATAGTATCAAGTGACGGGCAGTGCAGTGGGCAGTGCCCTAGGTGCTAATGCCAGCTCTATCACTGACCATGTGAGACCTCACTCCCCGCTCTTGCCTCAGTTTCCTTTTCTGCACTAACAGGGGCTGGTCTGGATGGTCTCAAAGTCATACTCTGGCCCACTTAATTTAGGCTACAGGGACACTAGTAAGACCGGGTGGCCTAAGATGGATGGAGTTGGGCTTTGGGCCCATTGGAGTCAGGAAGGGATAAGGCTGACTCAGACTCTGCAGAACTCATAGTCAACCTTTCTCCAGGCTGCCTGTTTCTAACATTGGCTTGGACCAAACTGGTGTATTAGACACTTCCATTGAACCATTTCAGATATTAATTCATCTGTCTCTTATTTCAGCCCACAGCTGTAGTTCAAACTGATAAGAACCTTGCTTCAGGTCCACCCTCCTGAGACCTCACTGTTGATGCTTTCAGTGACTATGCATGCGCAATGCTATTATTATTTGGTGGTACTAGAATTTGTTTTATTTATCTATTTATTTGGTGGTACTGGGGTTTGAACTCAGGGTCTCATGCTTGCACTCTACTACTTAAGCCACTCCACATGTGCAAAGCAATAGTGGAGAGGAGCTAATATTCCCTAGAGTGAAACTTTGACCAACGTGGGATCGGAGCTCGTGGAAAAAGATCTTTTCTCCAGAAAGGACTATTCATTCTAAGAAGCATTTCAAAGAGCTTCTTGCTTAGTTCCAAGGAACAGAGCCATCAATAACCCTTAAGACTGGCCAGTTTGGGGTTTGGGGCTTGGCTCAAGTAGCTAGAGTGCCTACCTAGCCAAGTATGAGGCCCTAAGTTCAAACTTCAGTACTACCAAAAAATAAGGTGGATAATGCACCCTTACACAGGCTCTCCCTGTTACCTTTCTACTTCCTAATGAAGAACCTGTCCATAAGCTTCACACTTTGCTTTTTGGAAAACCACAGCTAAGATATTATCCATGTTCAGATTTATAGACAGTGGAACAAACACAACCCAAAACCTCACTATAAAAAGAAGAGCTTGTTGTGCCTGGGTGACCAATAATCATAGAAAGGGCCAATTCCTTGAGCCTTTGAGTTTATTGTGTATTTGTTAAATTTCCAAAGCCTCTTCACAGAGATAATCCCTATACTGACCTTGTGAGGTCATATAACTCAAGTTCTAAATGAGGAAACTGAGACCCAAAGGGGTTTATTAGCTGATTAAGTCAGCTACTAAATGCTATGACTCTGAGATTCAAATCTTATTCTTCTAACTCCATGTCTGATGTCTCTGTTGTTTTCCAGTGTGATGGGCTATCCCATGGGACCTTAGGAACTACTGTGCTGGGGTCCAAAAATGGCTCATCGAGCTACCTCCCCCCCTTACTTGTAGGTTGGCTCAAATATACTGAGCAGCAAGGAAAGAAAAGCCTGAAAGGTTTGAAAAAGTCTGAGAAAAGTGCTAGGAGGCCACAGGTTGCTTCAGGGTTGAATTGGAATAGCTGCACAGCCTCAGGAAGACTCAGAATGTGAAGCCAAAGGGCCCTTGTATGGATAGACCAAAACCTCCATTCAGCCTCATTTCTGTACTTGGACCATCTTGGAACTTTGGTTCCTGCCATTTTCAGCTGCAGATCCCTTGGGTAGGGAAACACAAGGACTAACCCTCCCTTCGTATTCTTGATGACCAAGAGGGGGAACCTTCCATCTGGCAGTTATGGGCCCTGAGGGAATTTGAGGCTGGGCAAAAGGCCCCGTGTGTCAGTTCCCATCACAGCCACACAGTCCAGCATGAGTCACCACACACGCAGCCAGGTGAGTCATGCAGGCTGACGGATACTCTGAGGACAGGACAAGAGGTGGTTGGGCACAGGAGGCTGGAGACAGGCATAGGAAGGGGCAAAAGAGTCCATCTCCTGGCTAGTCATGCAGAGAAATTTCTAGCGCTGATGTGGGAATACTCTGATCCCTATTCTACCCCAGCTTTCAGTAGCCTCCCACGCCTTCCTACAGCCCTCTTCTCAGAAGCCCACGGTCCTCATTGGAATACTGTTTCCTTCCCTTAAACATAAGTAAGACCCCATCTTAACCTGACTGCTCTTTGCACTGCCCTGATGGTCAGAAGCTGGCTGGTGCTTCTCCTACAAAAGTTATCTATGTCCACTGGCTAGTGCACTTGCACTAGTTAACCTGTAAAATGAAGATGCTAATAAATGCAGGAAGCACCTGGGTTACCTTTATGAAGCTGCTACTCAATTACTGGACTTGTAGTAAAAACCCCTTGGTTAGTATATTGTTTGGGGATACACACATAGGTAATAAATGGTTAAAAAAAAAAAAGAACGATGTAAACAAAACTCAGGAAAGTGTTAATCTCTTCAAATACCTAAATTAGGGAGAGACGCTCAAGGGTTCCCAAAACTGGGTACTGACTCAGGAGTGTTCAGTTCAAATACTATTTAAACTATTACTATTAAATACTGTTTAAACTGCAGAGACATGTCTATTTTGTATATTTCACAATAAAAACTGTAAGAAAAATAAATGGATTAAGAATCTTGATGTCAGCACTTGTTAGGTGTGTGACCTAATGTGGACTCAAGTAATTCTAATTCACAGATCTTTGTGGGGCTCTTATGACACAATGTCTAGGAAAGTGCTTTACATACTATAAAATGTTAGAGGAGAATTTGTTAGTTTTCCAAGTTTCGGTCTCCTACGGCAATGCCTTTACTCTTAAGGATGGACTGCTAGCTTTTTCGGGATTTTCAAAGCCTCCTTCACAGCTAGGCCAGTAATGCAAATTCCTTAAGAACAGTCTTGGGAACTCACTCTCCAAAACAGGCAGGACAGCTTGGGATGAGAGAAAGCCAATCCTTTCAGAGGGGCAGAATAGAAGCATGAAATGAGGGAGGTGCAGTGGGGTATGCCTCTGCCTCCCAAATCAGCCTGCTCTGGTCCCACTTTGGTCCCAGAGGGACCACTCACCAGCCGTCAGGACCTGGACTTTCCACGGATGAGCAGCTAGAGCCCTCTGGTATGCTCGCCAGAGCGCCATGCTTCCTGTCAAGTCAAGAGGAGAGGGTCACTCCCACTGGCCCTCCCCACAATCCAAAAGATGCCTTATATTCCCTTTTGTCCACTATTTCTCCCTCTCTCCACTTCCAATGTTGGAAGGGCAGAGGTTTTCGGAGGGATGCTTCCTGGACCGTGCCCGGTCACAGGGTGGCCTTAGACAACTAGGGAAGAGGCAGGCTGTGGGCAGCTATGGACTCCCGGTTGCAGCCATCCGCCACGCACCCGTAGTCCTGAAGCAGGACTGTGTGCGGGCCTCCCGTCGCGGCCGAGACACCCATGAGGGCAAGCTGCTCTGGCTTCTACCCAGAGTCTGGGTCCCCAAAAAGCGAGCGCGGTCGGGCCCCAGACTCAGACTCAGTTGGAACTAAATCACATCCTTCCTGAGTGCAACTCCGCACCAGAGCCAGGGCCCGTCACCGCCCAAGCCTGGAATGGTTACATGCCCTGCAAGCTCTCGTGGAGCGGGGTGATCCGAGCGAGTGACCGCAAATCACCCGCCACTCACTCACCTGTGCACCAGCCGGAACCCCCCCCCAGCAGCCCCTCCCCTGTGACCGGAGCCGGCTTCCGCCCCAGGCCCCGCCCCTTCCGCCCGCCGCTGTAGTCCTGCGGACCCTGGACCCGAGCCTCCTGCCTCCCTGGAGAGACCCCCCGCCCACTGTCCCTGCTCTCCCTGCCTCCCCAGAGGTGGCCAAGATCCCGACGTCCTTGTTAATCTCTGGAGCGGTTGTCTGGAAACGCATAGTGCGCGCGTTACTTGTTGGATCTCTAGGTTGTTCGCTAGCCTCAATTGTAAGCTCCTGAGTGGGTGGAGCTAGGCCTCATTCATACTTGTTTATACCAGGTAGTTCAGCTGCCCCCACCCCAGTGCTCTTAAGTTTAGAAATGCAGCATGAAGTAACTTCCTCCTAATGCACTTACATTATCAGAACCTTCAGTAGAGTTTAGGTGCTGGTTTCATAGCGAACTGTGCAGCCTTGGTCATCACTAGACTTGCAAGTTTCCTCCTAAGAGTGGGGTTGCACTGTTTTTCAAACTGGTCTCAGTTCTAGGGGATTTGGGATGTGGGGGAAAGTATCACTGAGTTCTACCTCAAATGTGTTGGTCTTTTGAAAACCAGCAGACTGATTTTTTGTTGTTATTGACAGTACTGGTATTAAACCTCTTCCAGCTGTAACACCCTAGGATTCTGTTAATATAGTACAGTATCTTTTCTAGGCCAGTGGAAATTCCTACAGTAACCCCAACAGTGGGTTCACCAGGTTGGTAATCTTTGCTTATCTTCAGGTAACCATACTTTTTCAGGCTCCCCATCCACATACATCCAGCCTATTTGTTCAGTCTCTATATGGTTAAAGCAGGGAGAATCCTGTCACAAATAGTGGAGTAAGAGAATTCAGTGTCATAAACATTCAGCTAAAAGGCTCCCACGTATAAACACCATGTTAGAGGACTGAATTTACACTAGTAAACATAATAGACCAGATGTGGTAGGTTGGAAAGTTGTATTTTCAAGTCAAACCGGTCAAACCATACAGATTCAAATCCCAGCACTGGTAGTTAGGATTTTGTTCAGACTACCTAACCTCTCCTCTCAGAATCAAATCTTTTAAGGAAATAAAACAGCAATACCTGTGTATATAGGACTACATAATATATGCAAAACACTCAAAATATATGAAGTGCTAATACTTGTTTATCCTTTTTCCTGCCTTCTCCTTGGGAACACAGGGGAAGAATATATTTTTTATTGGAGAAACCTGGGAAGCTCCTTGGTGAAGGTGGAATTTGAACTGGCTTTTTAAAATTTTCTTTGTGTGTGTAGGATGGAACCTAGGGCCTTGAACATGGTAAGCACTTGCTCTACCATTGAGCTACACCCTCAGCTGAGCTGAGGTCAGATCTTGACAGGTAAACAGGATTCAGGTAGAAAAGGACACCTGGAGAAGGCAACAGTGAAAGCAAAGGCACAAAGGTAGGAAAGTTCAGGAACCAACAAAGTGCATGTTGGGAGCAAAGATTGTAAGGTAAGTGGGCTGGGGAGAAAAGTGTTTTTTTTTCCAGTGAGAAATAGCAAAAGCTGAAAATCCTCATTTTCCTTTGGAGGTTGAGATTAGGTCTGAGACAACAGTAGGAGCAGAGTGGGCAGCACCAACCTATAGCTGCAGTCGCTAGTCCCCAAGTCGCATCTTTTCTACCACTGGAAGCAGAAAAAGGACTACTGTGCAGCGTCAAGGAGTTGCTCTGTAGTGGTAGACACTTCCCCACCAGTCAGCTCAAAAGGCAACCCAGACAACTTGAGCTGGGTCACAGTGAAGTGGCACAACACTTGGCCCCTCTGCACCCACATGGGTTGTGGTCCCACTGCTTGGGGGACCAACTACTTGCTTCTCTTCTTGAAGATTTTGATATAATGATAAACTGCCTGCATTAGAGACAGAATACTGTTCCCAGCCGGGCATCTGACCAGTCTAGAGTGCCAGTTTTTATTTTCTTTTTCCAGGCAGACGCCAAACTAATCTCTATCTTCTCCAAGATGGAGCTAGCTGCCTGCTTTTTGTTGTTGTTGTTGCTTTTCTGTTTCCTGAGGTAAACTAACTACTTCCCTCCAGCCCCGCACCACTGGGATCTGCCTGTGCTTCAGGAAGAGTATCGTAGTCATGGTGAGTGTGTAGCATCCCACAAGAGGACAAGATAACAATACATTACTATACTTGGGTTCTGAACACTTCCTATACGTAGTTTAAACAAACATGTTTAATAAGTCAACAATGTGACCATTGTCATAAAGGATCAGAAATCATGACGTGTAAAATGGTTGAAATAACTGAAGATATTTAATCTAAAGGATAAAAAGACTTGGGAAACACATGATAGCTCTTGTAACTACTTAAAAGGGCAATCACAGGGAAGAATAACTAGGTTTCCTAACACCCAGGAATAAAATTAATAGAGGTATACTCTAACTTGATATAAATGAAGATTTTTTTGTTTTTGTTTTTGGTTTTATGAGTCAGGGTCTCACTATGTAGCCCCGGCTGGCCTCAAACTCATGATCCTCCTGCCTCAGCCTCCTGAGTGCTGGGACTACAGGCATGTGCCACCATGCCCAGCTTTAAAGGAAGATTTTTAAAACACTACTGCTAAGAGTGTTCAAGTAGGGTCAAATGACCAGTGACTGGGAATATTTCAAAAGCAGGGGCAACTAAGAGCTAAACCACTGTTCTATAGGGTGTTTGTGGTGTTCCTCAGTAAAGGAAGATCTATAAGCAGCTTTAGTCCAATAAATTACTGTCACCCCTGTTGGGCCTGTGTGTTGGTAACTTTAAAGAGGAAGTTTGGGAAGGCAGTAACATTGGATCCTGGAAATAGGAGCCTTCATGCAGATACTCTTTCCAATTCTCCAAACACCCACTCACAAGTGGTCTCAAAAACACCCAGTACCTTTACTTAGCTTTACCCACTTCACAATATGCTCAATATGAGCAATTTGATTCCCAAGCCTAGGTGAGGCCTGAGTGTTTCTTGTGAGCCATGGTTTTAGGTAAAGGACTTGTTGTGGAGGGAGAGCCCCCCTACCCGCAGGAGGCTATGACCATAAGTCTGTGGAAAGAGAAAGATTTAAGGAGTCCTGGGGAGGTAGGCCTAAAGATCCAGGCCTGGCACCATCACTGTCCAGAAAGGGCCCAGTTCCTATGGCTCTGTGCATGGAGGCCATTTGTTCTTGGTGGACTTCATTCCAAGGGTCCTGTGTGGACCAAGACTAGGGATTGGGCAGAAGGCAATGGCTGGCTGGAGGGAAACCCAGCCCTTCAGTTGGGAAGGATGGGTGGAACATAGCACTGAAGTGGGCTTGGCTTTCAAGCTGTATACGGTGGCCCAATGGGGAGGTGAGTCCACGGACAAAATGGATCCGAACCAGCCCTGACTGCCCCCCAGATACCAGCCATCCATAGGAGTCCAGGTTTGGGCTGAAACGTACCTGTAAAGAGAAACAGGAAACCAGAGAGGCTTAAGGATGGTGTTTTAGGGTGACTCCTAGCTGCACAAACAAAAACAGAGGTAGCACAGGACCATGACTAGGTCAGAGAGGTAGGAATGAGAAGCCAAAAATGAGGTATGTCTACCATGCTCTGGAGGTTGCCAAAGCTGCTTTTCCTCCTTAGCCAATTCTGCCTTTTCATCTCCCATTTCAGGCCTAGAGTTGGGGGAAAATGAGTGGAGGGCAGAGACGACGAGAAAAGGTTCTTACCTTATGAATAGCCTCAAGCTGCAGCCTATCCAGGCAAAGCTGAGAATGTCCCTCACCCTCCTGCATGCGCAGCATTGGTTCTCTACGGAGCAGATTGTGGAAGGAACTCTGGGGAGAAGTAAAATGGGGAGAGAGAGACCAGCTACTTAGTTTTACATCTTTGTGCTAGAACTCCTTAGGATTCCCTACTGTACAAGGACCAAAGATTTCTAATACTACCTCCATTCTCCTAGCCTCAACTTACCAAATCTGTGTCTTGAAAAAGCAAGTAGTGATGGTTGATAGTTTCAGTATATGTTTTAGCTTTGGGAGGGTTGGGGGCCCCAGATGAAGCAGAAGAGTACTCTTGACCTTCAGGACTGTCCTGATATGGGATCAGATCTGCTTTATAGATAGGCTAGAAAGGAGACCACAAGATTAGGTTTTATAATACTGAACACAAAACAAAAGCAAAAAGGAAACTGGTTTGGGGCAGCAAAGTCTTAAAGATAGAAGAAAGCAGTATTTTTAAATATATACTCAGTTACATCATGGTAGGAAAGATGATACAAAATTCTTTGCAGGTTTTTTAGGGACAGTGTCAGGGCTGCAAGAATGAGTACTAATTTGTATTCTACCAGGGGTTGGCAGGGCATGTGGATTAGTATCCAACAGATGATACTTCCATTAGATGTTCATATACTTACAAATCTTCGCTCTGCAGGTCTCTTGACATTTATTGGGTTCGATGCCATATCAGGCAATATAGCTGCGATAAGCTCCCCAGATATATCTCCTGCAGCTACTGTCCCAAGCCAGTCGGATCCTGAAAGACTCTAATAAGAAGAGAGATTTTACTACACAGTTTAAGAATGAAGACACACACAAAAATGAATTTATCATAACCCATGTTACAGTTACCACACACCTGTCTTCTACCCAAAGCTACTTCCTATTCCTGACTACAAACAGTTAAGTAAATGACCATTTTCCTATGTAATTAAAATTGTAGAAAAGACAAAGTCTCACCCAGACAGTGCCTTTTCGAGGAGCAGTGAAGTAGGCTTTGAAACCAAGGTAGCCAGCATCAATATAATGAATTCCACAGAGTCCATAACTGTATGAGAAAGAGAAAGAAAATAAAACTTCCTTTTTCCAAGATTAATTTCTTCTCCCCAATTTCTCCCAGAATTCAAACTACCTCAGTGAACCAACTCAACCCTCTTCTGCCCCAAATAATCTGGCACGCTTTGTACCCCCCACCCTTAGGGCCTATCCCCAGAGCTGCTGTTTCCATCTTGCCGTACGAGGCATAGCAGTTGTCCTGAGCCACAGTGACACCATTGTAGGGGAGCAGCCAAGCCAGCTCTGTACTCAAGAAGCGTTTGATACAGTTTATTGGTTCATAAGGTCGTCGAAGATCCCAGAATTTGATTTTTCGGTCGCTTCCTGCAGAGACTAGGAAATGACTGGAAAGATGGGAGAAGATCAAATCAGAATAAATATGGAAGAGTCAGCCTGTCCTAGTCTTCACCTTCTCACTCCTCATGTTTCTTATTCTGTACCTGTTTGCTTTGCACCATTGAATTGTACGCACAGCCTGGTCATGGGCTAGGAAACACTGGAAGGGGTACAGCTTTAAGGAGCCATCAGGGAGCCGTATCCGTTGCAGAGGTGAGTTAGTGGGAAGGTTCCAGAAAACCACCATGCCTGAAGTAGGGATAGAATATGTAAGCATTACAGGCAAGTTCTCAATTGTTTGTTTTCATTTTTTTCTCTGCACTCTGAGGACCTCTGTCTTCTATACTCAGATCCAAACTATAATAAAAAAAAATGGGGATTATGATTAACTACTCAATACTCCCTCCACTGTTTACTCAATTGGACATTTTAGCTCCAATTCTCATCAGCCAAAAAGTAGTAGCTTAGTGCTGGACATGCAGTTGATAGGCTGAATGTGCCTAGTAGCCTCTACTCCCTACTGAATCAGAGATAATAAAAAAAAACAAAACAAAAACCCAGCTGTATGTGGTGGTGGGGGTACATCTATAATTTCAGCAATCAGGAAGACAAAGAGTTCGAGGCCAGCCTGGGCAAAAACCGACCATATCTCAAAAAATACCCAAAACAAAAACAGGGCCAGTGGAGTGGCTCAAGTGGTAGAGCGCCTGCCTAACAAGTGTGCGGCCCTTATTTCAAACCCCATTACCACCAAAAACAAACAAAACAAAACAAAAAAAACCCTAATAATTCCAACTGCTTAATGTTATTCTTTTTAAATCTTAAAAGAACATTTAAGAGCTTAGTTGTTAATCTTCCAGTTTTTCTCTTTTTTTCTATAAAATTTAAGCATAATTAAATTTAATGCCTTTACATTTTAAATAGCATATATAGTATGATCTCATAAAATTCCTTTTTTCCTTCAATCTTGAAATTATGTCCATTTACTCTTCTTTTTTTTTTTTTTTTTTTGGTAGTACTAGGGTGTGAACTCAGGGCCTTGAGCTTGTTAGGTAGGTGCTCTACCACCCGAGCCACTCCACCAGCCCTGTTTGATGTTGGATATTTTCAAGAGGGTCTTCCCAAACTATTTGTCTGGGCTGGCTTTGAACCAAGATTCTCCTGATCTCTGCCTCCTGAGTAGCTAGGACTACAGGCGTCAGCCATTGATACCCAACTCTTTTTTGTGAGACAGGGTCTCCCTATGTAGCCGAAGCTGGCCTTGAATATTGACCCTCCTTACTCCACACCTCCCCAAGTGCTGGGATTACAGGTATATACTACCATGCCAAGATTTTTTCCTTCATTGAGATAGAGTCTTATGATGTAGCCCAGGCTGGCTTTGAACCTGCAATCCTTTTACCTCAGCCCTCATAGTGCTGGGATTATAAGTGTGCACTATCACACCTGGCTTCCATCTACTTTTTTTTTTTTCTTTTGTGGTGTTGGGGATGGAATCCACGGCCTTGAGCACCACCATCTAGTCCCTCATCTACTCATATTTTTTTTTCTCAGTAGAAAAATTCTAGTGACTTATTTCTTCTTTGTTTTTTACACTGCTTGAATATTTGTAACTATAATATAGTTCTGAACCAAAAGAAGAAACAAGCACACAGCTGGGTGCTGGTGGCTTATGCTTTAATCCTAGCTATGTGGGAGGCAGAGATCAGAAGGACTGAGGTTCAAAGACAGTACCAGGCAAATCGTTTGGAAGACCCTATCTTGAAAATACCCAACACAAAAAATGACTGGTGGAGCGGCTCAGGTGGTAGAGCACCTGCTTAGCAACTGTGAGGCCCTGAGTTCAAACCTCAGTAACAATAAAAAAACAAACAACACCCCCCCCTAAGCATATATAAAAGGTTTAAAGAGCAATAGCTCCTTATGTTTTATTTTGATTTTTACCATTATAGTATCCAGCAGCCAGGTGGTGGTGGGGCCTGGTAGGCATCCAGGCCAGGCTAAGGCACTGACCACACTCAGAGGGGTCTGAAGCTTGCATAGAACCCACTTGAAGGGTTGCTACACATTGTACCTGCAGGAACAAAAAAATGAGACTATGGTTAAGGGGTTCCCTGCTGTTGGAACAAAGGCTAGAGTCAGTTTTAATCCAGCAGGAGGGGGGACTTTTCAGAAGCAGAAGATGACTCACTGTGGAGTTTGTAAGGAAGGCTCTAAGAAGATGCGAGCCTCAGCTAAGGTAGTAGGTTCCTCACTCACCTTATAGATGGCAGGCTTCATCGCATCTGCAAAGGAAGAACAGTAGCTGATGCTTTGGATCCAAGGCCTGAGCTCTTAATCAGGCCTTATTCTAAGATGATGACCTCACATCCACCTTCTTTCATACTTTGCTGAAAGTCTGTATCCCTTCACCATCACATTCCTGATCCTACCTCTGTCCTCATTGTCTTTCCTTTTGTTATACCTGATACTACCCTTCCTCCTATCAGAACAGCTAATCCCCTGACCCTGTTCTCTTCTCATTCTTTTAGTTTCTAGAACTTTGCTCATTTGGTTATCCTTTCTCTTGCATTGTCCACTTGCTCTTTCCCTACTGGATCATTCCTATATTCCCACGTAACCATATCCTATTGTCTCCTCTACAAATAGACAAACATACCTTCCTTTTCCCCTTATTCACCTCAGCTACTACCCTCAGTTATTTGTCCCCCTTTATAGCCAGACTTCCTGAAGGAATCATTATACTGTCTTCATTTCCTCACTTCCCTCCTTCACCAAACCACCAAATACAGGACTTACCAAAGCTTAAACTCTGAAAATAAGAACTGAAATACTTAGTACTGCTGAAAAATGAATACATCCAATATACAGGCGCTGCCTTTCCCCGATACCTCTCTTTTCTTGCTCCCTTGAACTTTAACTCTCTCCCTCTCCTCACAACAGAGAGATAGTATGTATACATCTGTATATATGTGTGGTGGTGATGGGAGGAGGGACCAAGATCAGGATTGGGAGAATGAGAGTAGGGTAGGGAAGATGAATTCCATCTGTCAGCCGCAGCCCACAGCAGCTCCTTCCAAAGCCAATTATGAGGGCACCAAGAGGGAAAAGGGCATGCAGGCACAGCAGAAGAATAAAGAAGGGGGGAATAAAAGCTAAAGGGTTAAAACAGTGCAGTTATAAACCTGTAAAAGAAAGAGCCCAAGCTCAAGAACCAACAAGTCACAATGCAGGTTGTGGGCATGACTAAGGCTTTGTGCTGAAGATGGGCCCTGGCAAGCTCTGTCCACCGTGACTGCAACACCATTCTCCTTGCTGTGCTACTCACCTGGGGGCTGCTGAGCCAGCAGGGCCTCAGGATGTGGCAGACTGAACAGCAGCACCTTCCCATCTGAGCAGGCAAGAGCCAAGAGACCCAACCGGGGCAGAAGAGGAGCCTAAAGGGTGAGACCAGATCTGTGCTGAGGCTTCCTGCCTGCAGGTGCCTCTCAGAAAACCTCTGAGGTTCTGGTCCCTGAAAATATGACGTGGAATTTCTGGAAAAACTATCCACTTCACTCCAACCTTCCTTCCTCCAATGCTGAGAACTCCCAGAGCCATCCCACAGTCAACTGGGATATACCTTCCGAAGGGTTTCTGGAAGTTCCCATGCTCCACTGGGGCAGAACTTGAGGTCCCAGATACAGCCATGGTCACAAGCAATCCCATAGACAAAGTGGGCCCTGTTGCCAGGACTGGAGAGAGAAAGCAGGTGCGGACAGTGGGTAGGAAGGAGAGGTCTAGTGACGTTGGAGTTCCACTCCCCTTGTTTCAGCCCAGTTGAAGCCCTTCCCCACCCCCAGTCTTCTCTCCTTTGTCCACCTGCCCACGGCAGTGTCCCAGCCCCACCTCACCAGCTTTCTTGCTGCAAGGTTCCAAGACCCCAGAGCTGCAGCAGCCCAGGGCCTGAGTGAAGCTGGCTCAGTGGGTGGGTCTCATTCATGTCAGGGCTGGAGAAAAGGGCCACATACTGCGAGGCTGCTGACCCCTCCGGCACTGGGCACCAATCCAGAGCCCAGAGTGGCCCCCCTGTGAAGAAGGACACGTCCCAGCGCTCTGGATGTGCTGTGATGGAGCTAAACCTAGAGAAAAGTCAAAAGATGGGACAAAGACAGACATTAATTAAAGATCAGGAGGATTAGGAGCATCACTTGGAGTGTGTATGACCTAGCTTAAGAAGGGCCTGAAAACCAAGAATGGACTACAGGTGAGAGCAGTGCTTAGCCATCTTTTGTATCTCTCTCCTTTCCTTCCCAAAGCCTGACTAGCTCCAGCTCGTCTTCAACAATACAAGGCTGTTCATTCAGGCTTACTGCAACGTCATCTCAAGAGCTAAGTACATGTTACCTTGCTAACCCTAACTCTCTCTAGCTTCCTTCAGTCCAGTATACAGAGCTGAGCACTACAAATTACAGAGGGTTGACCAGCTCTAGTTGGAGCGCGTGTTCTTGGAAACAACCAGTTCAGCATCAGAGAAAGGACAGGACTAAACTGTCATCTCTTTCAACATTCTTTTTTCCTATTTCTGTCTCCTAGAATCAAAAAACTTCACCTGTTTATGCGATAGAGCGTGCCATCCTCAGGAAGCCCTTCACGCTGCACAGAAAACAGTGGAGACTTCTCCTCCTGGGGCAGGTAGGGAGCTGCTTCACTGGGGGAAGGCAAAGCAAACAGCCTGGATTTGGAAGAGTTTCACCCATCCCAGGATTCCCACTATACACCTAGAGTTTTTTTTTTGGTTTTTTTTTTTTTTGCAGTCCTGGGGTTTGAACTCAGAGCCTCGCACTTGCCAGACAGGGATTCTATCACTTGAGCCAAGTCTCCAGCCCCACTTAGAATCCTGTTATTCTTCTGTCACCCCTCCTAAGCGTCAGAGATGTCATTTGAACTTACAGTTCAGATAACAATTGCCACTTCCAGGCTACAGGAATCCATTCAGCAAACTCCCAGAATGAATGCTGCTGTTCTCGGCTGGGGAGACAGAATTAGCATCAATGGAGAAGCAGAGAGATTCTGTAGCAGTGCTGTCTAATCAAACTTTCTGCAAGGGTAGAAAGGACCTGTGTTCTGTGCTGTTCAACATGCCAGCCACTGCCAGCACTTGAAATGTGGTTAGTACAACTGAGAAGCAGAACTTTCCATTTCATATCACTTTAATTAAAGAGTTATGGACCGCTTGCCTTTGGAGTATTCATTTAGTAATCACTGTGGTGCTGTACCTGTGAGTGCTTCTCTTTTTCTAGACTCCCTTGCATTCCTCCACCACCCCTTTTCCCCCAGTCCCAGTCCCCAAGTCTCACAGGTCCTTGGTGAGGTGGAGGCACTTCCAAACAGGAGCCATGATGTAATTGGGTAAGCCATTGGGAGCCATGCCCCGGCAGTGTGACTTCTGCTTCTGAGGATCAAATTGAAGAAAATATAAGGGAGAGAATTTTCTAAGCTGGAGATGGTCTCAGATGACAGCTTTCTTTCCCAATTTTTACTTTTTTTTTTTTTTTTGCAGTACTGGGGTTTGAACTCAGGGCCTACACCTTGAGCCACTCCACAAGCCCTTTTTTGTGATTTTTTTTTTCAAGATAGGGTTTCATGAACTATTTGCTGGCTTCAAACTGTGATCCTCCTAATCTCTGCCTTTGAGCAGCTATCATTACAGGCATAAGCCACTGGCACCTTTTTTTTTTGTTTTTGGATGGGGTATGAATTCAGAGCCTCACTTGCTAAGCAGGCACTCTATTACGTGAGCCACATCCCCAGCCCTTTTTGCTTTAGTTATTTTTCAGAAAGGGTCCCCCATTTTTTGCCTGGCCCAGACTGGGACTGTGATCCTCCTACCTATCCTTCCCCCATAGCCAGAAAGACAGGTGTGTACCACCACAGCTGCTTGTTGGTTGAGATGGGGGTCTTGCTAGCTCTCCCTCCCCTTTTGGCTGGCCTTAAGCCACAATCCTCTCAAATTCCATCTCCACAGCAGCTGGAATTACAGGTGCACACTACCATCCTTTTGCTTTTCTTGCCATTACTTAGTCTCTAACCACTGCCCTACCAGCATCTTAAAAGATTTGTGCTTCAACCAAGCTCTTCCACTTCTGCTGCTCTTCCTCCATCAAAGCTGCAAATTCTGCTACTATTTTCTGTTCATCTCCCTCAAATCTCCATGGCATTTGATTTAGAGAACTCCCATACGCTTCTTCAAACTCCTTCCAATGGGAAAGTTACTCCCTATTCCTCCCACCTTTCTCATATTCCTTTGTAAGCTCTCCCTCTGATGGTTAGGGAGAGTATTCCACACACACACACACACACACACACACACACACACACACACACATAATCTCAATATCTCTGTCTCCTGATAGTCTCACCCCATGTCCCAGGGTTTAGACTACCACCTTTATGCCTGATTAGCTCAGAAAACATAATCTTGGCTAAGTCTCAACTTTTCTCCAAGTTCTAGGCCTGTATGATGTTGTGCTGAGCCATATTACAGTCTAAGGTAAAAGGAAATTCAGTAATCAGTCTTAAAAACAAACAAAAAAAACCTCAACCTCAGTAATGTCCCTATCTTTAAAATTTTGATAGTTTCAATTAATGCAATTAGTTGCATTAATTCTGATTGTCAAGATGCCATATCAAAATATGTTACTTGATTACTGACAATCTCAATGCTCCCTTAAATGTTGTACTCAAGGCAAGCTAGGTGCTGGTCCCATCTATGCAACTGGTGACCAGACATCTCCACTGGATGGCCCATAGCTTACAAAATATTTCCAAGTCCATCAAAGGAAGAGACCTCTGTCCCCTTACACCTACGTCCCACAATGCCACCACATAGCTAGAAACTCATCAATTTCTTCTCTTCATTTCCCAAGTCCTACTAGTTCTCGTACTTCTCTCTTCGTCTGCCCCACCTCTGCTTCCTTCACACTTGATTGAGGACCTTGCCATCTCTCACCTCAATAACTAGAAGCTTTTTCTAATTGTCAATTGTCCTGTAACCTATTTCCCTACAGACTACGTTATTTTCCTATTTAAAAAATTTGTTGAGCGCTGTCGTAGTGGCTCAAGTAGTAGAGTGCCTGCCTTGCAAATGTGAGGCCCTGAATTCAAACTCCAATACTGCCAAAAAACAAAAACTTTGTTGACCACCTAGTATTAATGTATACTAATTCAAAAGAAAATAAAACTATTAAAAAAAACAAACCTGTTAAACATAGCTTCAGCTGGGGATGATGAAAATTTCTAGAAATGGATGGTGCTGTTGTACAACATTATAGATATAACATTAAGGCTACTGAGTTGTGTATTTTTAAATGGCCAAAATGGTAAGTTCTATGTATATTTCACTACAATTAAAAAACAATTAAGCGTGATGGCTCATGCCCATAATCCCAGCTACTTGGGAGGTGGAGACTGCAATGATTGTGGTTCAAGGCCGGTCTAGGCAAGAAGTCAGTGAGACCCCATCTCAACAAACACCCTGGGCATGGCAGTTACACATCTGTAATCCCAGCTATGTGGGAGGCTTAGGTAGAAGGACCTTGGTCTGAGGCTGACCCCAGGCAATGAGTACAACCCTACCTGAAAAATAAAGCAAAAAGGGTCAGGGGCATGGCTCAAGTGGTAGAGTGCCTGCCTGGCAAGCACAAGGCCCCGAGTTCAAACCCCAGTTCTGCCAAAATAATTAAAAAACAAACAAACAAAAACCGAGAAAAACTTGCTGGGCACTGGTGGCTTACACGTGTTATTGTAACTACTTGGGCAACTGACATTGAGAGGATTATGGTTCAAGGCCTGCCTGGGCAAATAGCTTGCAAGACCCCATCTCCAAAATAACCAGAGCAAAATGGACTGGAGGTGTGACTCAAACAGTATAGTGCCTGCTTTGCAAGAACAATGCCCTGAGCTCAAATCTGAGTCCCACCAAAAACAAAACAAAACAAAAAACAATTGTTATTGTTGGCATCTACCAATTTTAGTCTGAAATCCTCTCTACCTCGATCTCCCTTACAACTTTCTACTTCTGGGAAAACCATCCTCTCTGGCAAACTTCTATTCACCCTTCAAGACCCAATCAACTATCATTCGTCTGTGAAACCTAAGCAGATAGTGATCCTCCGTTTGCCTTAGCCATTTGTGCTCCTGGTATACCACTCATCACTTTCTGTGGCAGAACTTTTGCTACCAATTGTGTTTCCTAGTGCAGAACGCTCAATTATCAGTGAATTCTCTTGTTGCCTACACCCTTCCCCCATAATCTCCCTAATATCTCAGCTGGTTTTGAAGTTGTTACTTTTTTTAAAAAACCAAAAACCTGTTTTGACCATCATAGTTACATGATGTGGCTGAAGCTGACTGCCTAAAAATTTCCCCATTCGCTTTCTTGCCCATTCAAGTTACCCCTGAAGTGGATCCACGTGGGTTGCTTCGGGGCACTGCAGGCTCAAGGTCGGATGAGCTCTCGCTTGGGGCCTCACTTTCTTCTCCTTCTTCAGCCTCAACCTTGAGAACAAAGTCTTCATCCCGAGCAGCAGCAGCCTCTTCTCCACCGTGACAGGCTGCCTGCTGCCGGATCTTCTTCGGTTTGGTGGGGCTGCTCACCTTGGGACTTTTAGGAGGACAAGACACTGGGGCAGGAAGGGCTGTGGAGAGTTCTTCAGCCAGCTCCTGAAGATACAGAAGTGCCCTGTGGGATAGGGCAGAATCAGAGCCATCCTCACAAACCTTTAACCGAGAGCCCACTTCCCTAGACTTGCTTGATTCTTATCTTACTGGATCCTCCCACTAACCCTGTGAAGCAGCTATTATTTTCCCTTTCCTCCTTAATAGATAAAGAAACAGGTATCTAGGAGAGTTAAAGTGCCTTGGCATAGATTAGTCAGGTAACAAATATGGAATTTGAATCTAGGTCTTCCAACTCCAAGTTTAATGCACTTTTCACTCTATCAAGGTCAAAGGACATAAAGGGCAAGGGAAAAGAAAGAAGGGCACATAAATACAGAAATATACTGGGTGGTAAAATAGCAATGAAGACCTGGGGGAAGTCTGTGAAAAATGTGATGGAGAGCCGGGTGTGGTGGTGCACGCCTGTAATCCCAGCACTCGGGAGGCTGAGGCGGGAGGGTCACGAGTTCCAGGCCAGCCCGGGCTACAGAACGAGACCCTGTCTCAAAACAAAAACAAAACAAACAAACAAACAAAAAATGTGATGGGGTATGAGGTGCAGAAAGAAGCCTCTTAGATATACAAAGTTAGCAACACATACCACGAAGGTGGCTGTAGTGAGAGATAAAGGATTGCCCACATTCCCAGAACCCAGACACCATCTTGCTTACCTGATCCCTTGTAGCAGTTGTCCCATCTCTCCAACATTTGCCGCCCCCTTCCCCACCATATCACCTCATCCCCTTCCCTCCACCAGGTTATGCCCCACAATCCTTACACTTGGGCAGCCCTCCGACGGGGTCGTTCCTCAGCAGGAGTCTCAAAGTCCTCAGGGGGCCTCTTTGGATGTGGAGACTCCGGCTGATCTAGGCCTTTTGACAACTTCAGCAGTAGTAAGTCTCCCTTGGACTTTTGACTTCGTTTCTTAGGCATGGGGGTGGATAGAGGGTTGGACTGATCTAAGAGAGTAGGAACCAGAGGGGCTGCTGGAATTTTACGCTGTTGGGGCCTTTTGGGGCCTTGTGGTGTCCTACTACCTCTCTTCCGGGCAGGCTGTGAGGCCCTAGGTTTTGAGAACTTTGACATCTCTGAAGAAAAATCTGTAGAGAGGAATACAGTCTGTGAGATGGGATCAGAGCTCAAACGTCTTTGGACTAGATTATACTGAACCCAGTTTTATAAGATCCTATGATCTCCTTCATGCTAAGTATGAGAAGACAAAAAGAGAACAAATTACATACCTTGCTCTTCTAATCCGGAGAGGTTTTCCTGCTTCAGAGGAAGCCTTGCCACATCAGGAGAATCCTCAAATCCAGGCAAAGTGGCAGGTAATGACATCTCTATGGAAGCCTCCATACTGGTTGTTTCAGAGGAGCCCTTGACATCAAGCTGGTTTAGCACATCTTGTCCAGGAGAATCTACCACTGTCATGTTCCCCACGGGGCCGGCCTCCCCCAGGGCAACACAGCCGACCCCGCAGGTATCCATCAGCACCCCCCAAAATGGCTGCCCTGCACAGAGACATACCAATGAGTGGAAGGCAGAAGATATTTATTCAGGGTCAGACTTTTTTCTTTTCCTGTCTTTTAACTCCTCATTCCACAGCCAAAACCCAAACTCCCTGATCATTCATTCAACAATAATTACTAAGCACCTTCTATGAAAAGCACTATTCTAAGACCTGGTAACATCATAATTAAAACAGACAAGGTCCCTGACCTCATGGAACTTACATTCTGATGAGCAGATAATAAACAAATAATAAGCTACCATCTATTAAATACTTTCAATGTATCAAATGCCATACCAAGTGTTTTATGTATATTATTTAACTTTAAAGTTCATACATTTTCTTATAAGGATATTACAGTGAATACACAATTATTTAACTCTTCTCCCTGAAAAACAATAAAATGAGTCACATACATATCCCATCACCATGAAAAAGAAAAAAATTATGCATCTAAAGAAAGGTCACAACTTCCTGAAATAGACTATCAAGAATAGGTGCCACACCCGCAGTGTGATAGCACATACCTATAATCCCAGCTACTAGGAAAGTTGATGCAAGAGCATCATTTGAGCCCAGGAGTTTGGGGCCCAGTTTGGCAATATAGCAAGACCCTGTCTCTAACAATAAAGTATAAAATAAAATGAGAAACAACTGTCAGATATTTTAAACTCAGACTAAACTGAAAGAGGACACCTTTAGCTAATATCCAGTTCTGTGAATATTAGTCAAGAACAGATTTATTTAAGAATAACTAAAAGTTTCTGAAGCCAGCCATCAATCTTACACTGACATGAGGTGGGGGAGGTGGTATCAGAAAGATCATGAGAGAATTAAAGAACATCTCATTTCATTAAGAGACCTTTCCCATACTGAAGAGTGGACTAAATTTCTGGGATTTTGGACCCAAGAAATAAGATTTGCAACCACAGACCAAAGGGGATCAGCAAAAATAAAACTGACCACAAACCCCAAAATCTGAGCAACACACAAGACTGCAGGGCCCAGTTTTAAGCCAAAACAACTTGCTTGCCTCTGACAAAGGGGGAGAAATAGTTCTAACCCAGCAGGAACCCTCCATAGGTCCATATGCCTAAATGCCTCAGTGAAAAAGAAAGCTAATACAAATTATCAAAAGAAACTCACTAATTCAGGTAAGCATGGTGGTTCAAACCTGTAATCTCAGCACCCATGAGACAGAGGCAGGAGGATTGTGCATATAAGGCCACCCTGATCTACATGAGACCCATCTCAAAAACAAAAACAAAAACAAAGAAATACACAAATTAAAGTTTCTATCCCTCTCCCTGGAAGAAGCTAGATTAAACAGATAATAAACTGTAACAAAAGTCAACCCTCTAACTCAAGTGTTAAAGATACAATGTACCATTATGTACTATAGATACTATATAACAGGGCAAGGTATATAGAAGTCAATGAAACTCCACCTATGTTGTTCTTTGGTAAAGAGAAGCACTGACAGAACTATTTCATTCAAAATAAGTAAAAAGCAAAAAGGAGCCAATGTAGGACCTATGCATAGATACAGCAGAATGAAAAAGTACACAAACAAAGGTGAAAAGTATCCTTTCAAGCAACTGCTCCAGAAAAAAGAAAATTTCTAAAAAAAACTTCAATAACTAGCCTGCACACCTGTAATCTCAGCTACTTGGGACGCAGAGGCAGGATGATCAAGAATCTGAGACCACTCTGGGCAAAATTAATGAGACCCTAGCTCAAAAAACAAAATATAAATTAGAGGGCTGGGAACCTGGCTCAAGTGGCAAGCAGGGGGTAAGGATGGGGGAGACTTCAATACTTACACACACACTTACACACACACTTACACACACACACACACACACACACACACACACACACACACACACACACACTACAGAATCCAAGAAAGGAGACCAAAGAGGTAAAACAATGGCAAGGGAAAAAGTAACCTGGCACACATCAGAAAAGAATAAAAGAATCAAAGAAATGTAGACTACAGGAGCTCAAATACAAATCACACTGTTAAAAAGAGAAGCAGCTGGGTGTGGTGCATGGCTGTAATTTTAGCTATTCAGGAAGAAGGGGATAGAAGTTTAAGCACAGCCTGGCAAATTACCCTAAGACTCTGTTTGAAAAATAACCTTTTTTTTTTTTTTTTTAAAGGAAAAACAAAAGCAGTGAGATGAAGGACAGGTTTGAGAAAAACCACATAGACTACAAAGGAGAGAAAGGTAATTAGTGAGAAGATGACATAAACAGAAGAGACAAAGTAGGGAGCCAACATAGGAGTGATTTATGTTTTGAACTCCGAGCTTCACGCTTGTTAGGCAGGTGGGCTTACCACTTGAGCCACTCCACAAGCCCTGAGTGATTTATGTTTTAAGAAGTGGGAAAATAGGAATGGAAAACAAAAAAAAATCAGAGGCCAGTGTGGTGGCACATTGTAATCCTGGCACTCAGAAGGCAGGATGATCTCAAGTTCAAGTTGAGGCCAGCCTAGTTTCAAAAAGAGGAAAAGGGAAAAAGAGAAGAAAATAATTTTCAAAAATTTAACAGAAGAAATTTTCCTATAATAAAAATATTTTAAGCTGGGCATGGTGGGGGCACACCTGTAATCCCAGCATGCGGGAGACTATGGTAGAAGGGTCTCCACTTTGAGGTCAGCCTGAGCTACATAATGAGATCCTGTATCATAAAAAACAAAATAAGTTAGGTGCCAGTGGCTCATATTTGGAATCCTGGCTACTCAGGAGGCAGAAATCAAGAGGATCAGGATTTGAAGCCAACTTGGGCAAATAGTTCAAGAGATCCCTATCTTGAAAATACTCAGCACAAAAAAGGGTCGACAGAGTGGCAAGTGGTAGAGCACCTGTCTAGCAAGTGTGAGGTCCTACGTTCAAACCCCAGTACTACCAAAAAAAAATTTTAAAACGTTCCTGAAATAAAGGAAAAGCCCAGTCTACAGATCAAAAGGGCTTACTGTGTAAAAAGGAAAAAAGAATCATTAAGACCAAGCAACATCTGAATGAAAATACTAAAATCCAGAAGATAACATGTACAAGCAACTTGACAGAAGACACAAGTCTGTTACAAAGGAAAAAAGGTATCAGGCCAGCCTTGGGAGTTATCAGAAATACTTGATGCCAGAAGATAAACAGGATAGAGAGAACTCTTCACTGAGATATCATTCATGTAAAGGTAATAGGATGACATTTTGAATATGCAAATTTCTAAATAATTATAACATGCAGCCTGATCTAAAACAAAACATCCACTTGAAGACTTAATTTAACCAACTGGAAGATAAATCAATATAAAGAATTTTCTAATGGAGAAGTTATGGCATTAAAAGATTGGCAGTAACTAACCTAGTGAAATATCAAACTGAGTTTAAATAGCTATGCTAACTATGGTTATAAAACAGACTAAACTTCAAAATTTAAAGGCCTTTGTCAGGTGTAGTGTTGAACATCTATAATCCTGCACTCAGGGGCCTGAGACAAGAGGATCACAAACTCAGCTCAAGGCCAGCCTGGGCTACTTAGAAACCTTAAAAAACAAACAAACAAACAAACAGGCAAGGTGGCTCACATCTGTAATCCTAGCTACTCAGGAGGCAGAGATCAGGAGGATGACAGTTGAAAGCCAGCCTAGGTAAATAATTCACAAGATCTGATCTTGAAAAAACCCAACACAAAAAAAAGGGGCTGGTGAAGTGGCTCAAGTGCTAGAGTGCCTGCCTAGCACGCAATGAGGCTCTGAGTTCAAACCCCAGTACTTCCAAAAAAGAAAAAAACCTAAAGTTTCACAATGTAACAATACCAATATTCTAATTGTAACAGACTAAAAGTGAATTATTCTACTTTTGCTTCATTAACACCATTTACATATTTAATAGAACTAAAAAAAAAGCATAATATATTGCTTCCAAATTACTCACTACATCATAGGACCCAGAAGAAAACTTATCTTACTTAAAAGTTTTATAAGATAGAGATTTTGTGTATCTGATTCACTACAGTATCCAGAACTTGGTGCAAGTTAAACACAATAACCCTTCATCTCTGTTGATTGACTGACTCAACATACAAAAATCCCTGTTAGGATTCACTTCTCATGGAAGGCAGAAGCAGTTTAATTTCCATTTAGGATTATGCAATACAAATTTTAGACACACAGTAAGGGAAGAAATGTTTAGTAAATTCAAACAAGAGTTTTTTCATCTCAACCCGTCTGGTTCCCCTGCTGCTTCAGGGTATCAACTCAACCTCAGGGCAAAAGAAAAATAATTAGTAACACTAAGGAATTATTTTAAACACACTGTCCTCATACACTGTTTCATAAATTATTCCTATGGTGCAATTGGTGGAATGCAAGATCACTTTAATGGTACAAAATGAGCATTTTTATTTGGCCGTGTTTTCATTTTAACTTGCATAAGAAACGGTAACCCATGGCTTCAGTTCATATTGCTAGAGACTAATGCATTTAAACTTCAAAAATAAACTAAGTTTAAAAAAACAACGCTACAGTTGATAAGGATGACAAAAAATAGTGACGTTAGCAAAAGATTAAATAAAATTGTGTAACAATACACCCCAGGGGAGAAAGGATTTGTTCAAACCCTACACCTCTCCAGCAAAGTGAGTTACCTCGGGTGGGGCTGAAGTCGCCACCACTGTCCTCCCCAGTAGCCAGCCAACTTCCCGCGGGATAAAAGGACCAGACAGGGAAACATAACTGGCCCTTGGCTGCGCCAATGGGATTGCAGCGCGCGGGGCACAACCCCCCGGGGTTAGAGACTCCTCGAGGAAGAGGCCGGGATTCGGCAGGAAGAGAAGGGCCGCAACCACTCCAGAGACCACCGTCCGCCCTCCCTCGGTCCTGGTCGTGGGGGCAGCTTCCGCCACTAGCCTGTGCGGGAGGCGAACCCCGATTTCCCTAAGACTGAGGAAAACTGTAGGTTCGCCGAGTCCAAGGGACGCAATGTAAGCAGCTCCGAGGCTGAACACCGCGTGGGGGAAGAGGGCAAGACCCCTGGCTTGTAGATGGGGGATGCTCGCTGGCCACAGTGGGGAGGGAAGTGCGAACACCATGGTTTTCTGTAGGAGTGCCGAGGCTGGAGGGCGGGCTGCCGAGCGCAGGGGGAAGAGCGGAGTCGGGAGTTGGTTCCCAATGTCTTAGCGCTACTGCAAAAGAAGGGGAGGAGTAATCGCTGGCCCCCCGCACACCCCGCTGCGGTACACTCACCCGCGCCAAAGTCCTTCCGGAAGTCCAAGTTCGAAGATGGCGCCGCCTGTCTTGTCGCGGTTTTATGACGAAACCTGGTAGTGGTTTTTTTTTTTTTTTTTTTTCCTTGCCCCGCCCCCGGCACAAGGTAAACGCGAGCACGCTTGGGAGTTCGTGCCCTGCCGGGCTTCCCTGTGTAGACTCTCTGTTCCATAATGCAGCGCGGCAGCTCTCCACGTCCTTCAGCGCGGGTGGGGCTCGGGGCGTGGTGTGCTCTGCGTAGGGGCCCCGCAGGGCCTTCTGGGAATTTCAAGGGTGAGAGTGGGCAATTGGCGCTTGCGCAGCCCCACGGTTTCTAAGCTGCGTCGCCTGGACTTGAGCCGAGAGTTTGATGTAGAGGCCTTGGCTGTAGCTCCTGAGCGTTCAGTCCGGCCTCTCCGCCCAGGCTGCGGGCCTGTGGCGGGCAGCATTAGGCTACACCTGAGTCTTCACTGCAAATCTGCGACGGGACAGGCTGACAAACTCTCGACGCCGGCCGCTAGAGGATGAGTCGGGTTTCTGCCACTAGTGAAGTCGTGGATGTACCCCAGGCAGGAAGAAAGGGAAAGGGGGCTTGGGACGAGGAAGGGAAAGAGCGGTAGAAAAGGTTGACCTGGGGACGCCGCACTCCCGAGAGGGAGCATCGGCCTCGGCCACTGGCCTTGCCCCATTCCCTGGAAGGTGGCCTGCGCTGGGCGAAGGAACGAGTGCAACAAGTTTTCCTGTGTCATTTAAAGCCGTAAGGCTTTTCGTCTCCACGTACCCAGTAGGAGAGAGTGCGGGATGTATAAAATGGTCATGAAGGGGCCAACCTTTCTCTTCCCAATTAGAACATTTAAGAAAAGTATAGGAGCCGGGCGCTGGTGGTGCACGCCTGTAATCCTAGCTGCTCAGGAGGCAGATTAGGAGGATCGAGGTTCAAAGCCAGAGGGGCAAATAGTTCCCGAGACCCTATCTGGAAAAACCCACCACAAAAAAAGGGCTGGTGGAGTGGCTAAAAATGTAGGTCCTGAGTTAAAACCACATACGGGGGGGGGGGGGAATGTATGGGAGAAAGCCGGGTACAGCGGCACCCACCTGTCGCCCCAGCCACTCAGGAGGCTGAGGGAAAAGATCGTTTGAACCCTGGGTTGCAGCACGACCTGCACAACAAAGCAAGCTCCTGTCAGATGTTTACTCCTAAACGTTTGTGTGATGGACAGCTCTCTGTTTCAAACTTTCACTTCTGTAATGAACCAATCTGTCTCTTCAATTCTGCCTCTGATTTGTTTTTGACTTAAACTATGGCAAGATTTCTTTTTTAAAATAATGATTGTATTTATTTTTGGAACAAGACATTCACATGACTCAAAATTCCAAAAGATACAAAGGGCATAAAGTGAAGACTTATCATCAAACTGTTCACCAGTCTTTGAATTTATTTCTTGTTGGCCCAACATACACACACACACACACACACACACACTTTTTTTTTTTTTTGCAGTGACAGGGTTTGATCTCAGGGGCTTGATGCTTTCTAAGCAGGCACTCTGTCATTTGAGCCATGCCTCTACCCCCATACACCTCTTCTCTTAACTAGCAACTACACACATTTTCCTGCATCTGCTGCTTTTAACTGAGTGTACCTCGGAGATTGTTCCATTTCTCTGTATAAAAGCCTTTCTTACTCTTTATGACATCTTAGTATTTAACTATATGAATGTAGTATAATTTAATTAGTATCTTATTGATAATAATGAGTATTTAGGTGGATTCCAGTCTTGTTATTTCAGCAATGTGCCTATAAAAAGCCTTGTATCTCTGTTACTTCAAACATGCTATTCTATGGGTAGGATGAATTCATAGAAGTGACATTGCTGGACCAAAGTTTAGGTGCATTTGTAATTTTGATTGAAAAGCAATCTTTTAACTAATCTTTCTCTCTGCCCCTAATCTCTAACAGTTACCTTCCTAAAGCATACAGCTGACCTTATTGATCCTCTGGTTAATTTTGATGAATGAGTGGTACTGACCTAACAAAAAAAAAAAAAAAAAAGAAAATGCTGCTAGGTGGGTGGTACAGGCCTGTAATCCTAGCACTTGTGAGAGTTCAGAGCCATCCTAGGCTACATACTGGGTTCTAGGCTGGACTACATAGGGAAACCCTTTCTCAAATTGGAAAAAAAAAAAAAAGCCTCCCCTTCCCACAAATTAACAGCTACTCATTATAAACCATTGGGAGTAACTAGTGACTGATGCCTAAAATTTGGCAAATACAAGAAAAAATTAAACATTTCCTCTGCTTTTCCAGTATGAACTGTAGTTCAGATAACTAACTGATTGAGGTAGTTCTTTACAGAAGATTATTGGCTAGTAAGTGTGGAGAGAATGATGGAATTAAATCACCATTTTGCATTTCCTCATGAAATTATTCAGGCAACAATCACTAGTCAATAAAACCAGTAAATAAATGGATTGGAAGAAGTTTTAAAATGCCTGTACCCACTCATCACTAAAGAGGAAACAACCAGTGACTGTTTGCCTCAATATTGATGTGAGGCAATATTAAAACACAGAACAACTTAAGTATCCCTATACAGAAAGCTGAACAGAAATAGAGAGCTTAGAGCAATGAGTGAAATGGTACCACATGAAGTAGTCAAATCCAGAATGTGAAACATTTTATGACAACCTGACTTCTACAAGTCAATGTCATGAGAAAAGAAAGTAGGAGAAATAAATTAGTTTTTCTCCCCTCTGGGTGCTGAGGACAGATCCCAGGATCTCATGTGTACTAGGCAGGTGCTCTGCCACACTCCCAAAACTGCTTTTTAAGAAACAAAAGAACCAAATTGTGGATTTGTTTGGATCTTGATTCAAAGGAACCAATTTTGAGACAATCCAGGAAATTTGATTATGGATTAGATAATACTAAGTATTAGTTAATAAGTATAATAATGATGTTGTGAATTTCCTACTAAAAGGCACATGCAGGAGTGAAATGATTAAAACTAACTTCAGCCAGGAGGAATGAAAGGGAAAGTAAAGGGGACGAATCTTGGTAATTGTTACACTCTCCTTTTGTCCCACTTGACTAATTTCAGTAACACACACAGATAAAATGGATAGCTTTCCATTTTGAAGCTATCCATCCAGTGTCTAGACTCTCACAATTGAGCCCTCGCCTACCTTTGTAGATCTAGCATTATCAGCATTAAGCCTTATTTCTAGCCTCTTTTCAGGCTACCTTGATTCTTTGAAATTAGCCACTCCCTTTAAGGCCATTTTGTCTTTGGGTTCAAGCTATTACATCTACTGATCTTCCTTCTCATTCTTTTCCAACTGGGGAACTACTTTTCTTTCAAGGACTAGGTCAGATGTTACCTTTGGAGTCTTCATCAACCATTCTTATCCCATTGGCATCACTTGTGGTTGTTTCTAAGGATTTTGTTCATACTACTAGTTTACCTCACACTGTAGATTGTTCATCTTCCTACACCATGATACATGTATCTTAAGGACATAAGGCATAAAAGCAGAGCCAGGTGTGATGGTATATACCTGTAATCCGAGCATTCAAGAGGTAGAAGCAGGAGGATATAAATTCAAGACCAACCTGGGTTACAGTCACACCTGTCTCAAAAAAAAAAATAGGACTGGAGGTATGGTTCAAGTGGTAGAGTACCCGCCTAACAAGTGTGAATCCCTGAGGTCAAACCCCAGTACCACCAAAAGAAAAAAAAGTTAAGAGCAGTCCTTGGATCTACACTACCTGTAATCGCATTATTTAGCTTCTGTCAAGCTGTGTTGCCTTGGGCAAGTAACTTAACTTCTTTGCCTCCCTTTTCTCATCTGTAAAATCTCATTTCATTAAAGATGTATTCATTTCTCTAACTGGATAAAAAGGGGCTCAAAACAGTTTTTGACACACAGTAGGTACTCAATAAATACTTACTACTAAGGTTAGAACTCGTGGTACTGTGTTGAACTCAGGGACTTGCATGTGATACTCTACCAGTGAGCTACCTCCCCAGCCCTTGGTTTTTTGAGACATGGTCCCCTGATGCAGCTCAGTATGGCCTCCAACCTAAGATACTCCTGGCTGTCTCCCGAGTGTTCATATTACAGTTGTGCACTCATTTGTCCTTATATTCCTCCTCATATCTAGCTCAATGTCTGGCATGATATGTTCAATATTTATGACTAAAACTCTGAACAGGTTTTGATGCCCACACAGACCTTTGCCTTGGCCCCAAAGCTAGTCTCCTGAGAGGGACTGGGGATTGTATACTGCTGATCAAGTGGTAGCAATGCTCAAAAGAGATAAAAAGTCACCAGAGAGTAGGTGTATGTCATTTATTGACCTTTGTTCTTCCCTCACTGGTCACTGCTTTTGACTCGCAGGACAACAGGCACTGAACTACAAGGGATCATGCCCAGTTCTGTGATCACCAGATCCACGAGCTCTGGGGGAGTCACATCATAGACCAGATTCAACAACCGTAGAGATGAATGGTTCTGCCAGTCAGCCAGGGCCACGTTTTCTCCCCGCTTACATTGCAGATCATCAGGATCATCTGCGATGGGAGGGGGACCCATTTTGTTCTTTTAGAAAAGAAGCTGAGGTTTAACCTACCCTCTTCTTTGCAAGTCTTCTCAGGCCCTGGAAACTTCACTTCTGCCCTGCTTACCTAGTTCATTAGAGACAAAGGCATCAGTCTGCACTCGCTCACAGAACTTGTATGTTTCACAGCAGACCAGCACTGGCACATTATGAGCTCGAGCCACCAGAGCCAGCTGTGCTGTGCCTACCCGTGACATCACGGATCCATTGGCCAGGAGTGCATGAGCTCCCAATAGCACCTTAGAAACCTGTTTGTTTTGGACAGTGTGGAGGGGAAGAAAAAATTGTCATGTCTTACAAATGTAGAATCCCCCGCTGCCCAGGACAACAATATTAGATAACAAATCTGAATGGCTGCTTTTGGAAAATCTAACCATTGACCCACCAAGCCTCCCACAGGAAAACTCAATTTTAAAGTTACTTTTGTCTTGTTCCCTCTTGATGGCTACTAGTTTAATAAAATGTTTTTGCAATACCTATATTGCTATAGCATGCTGTAGGGGTTTTCCTGTTAAGGATAAACAGGGCTGTATTCTATATTTCTACATAACTGAACCTTAAGAAGATAAGGTTTTGTCTCCATTACTACACCCTTTTCTTCCAACTTTGGAGTCCTTTTCCTCTGCCCTTACCTCTGGGAGCACATAAGAAGCTGCAGGAATTAGCAGATAGGAGGCAGGGACACCAGCGTGGACCAGAGAACGGAGCGTGTGCCTTCCCTCGAGCCGGGGTCGGCTGTCCACCACAACCACCCGAAACCGCCGGCCTTCTGTCCAAGCCTCCTGGAGAATTCGTGATACCAGAGATGAGCTAGAGAGGGTACAATGGAGACTTAGTTATAAAAGTTACTAACTACTGGCTGGCCCATCTACAAAAGCAAGGGGGTAGTCCTTTCTTCCAGTCATTCCCCTCCCCAGTTTTCCAGTCACAGGGGTGCACCATACCATCCATATACCAAGATCACATCTCCATTACTGATCTTCTTGTAGGCAAAGCGTGAAATTGCCTGAGCCGCAAGTACAATCTTCTCTTGTACATACCGATCAATAGCTGAACCAAGTTCTGACTTGGCCTAAATGGAGTAAGATGTTCAGTAAACAGGAAATAGACACATTGTTTTCCTCTAGTTATGCCAGATTATTTAACATATATAATGATAAGCCTGAAGAAGGCCCAGAGGTGGCACAAGTCAGAGTGCCCAACCACTTCCCTAACCAGTGACTAGGGTAGAGTGGCATGTGTTGGCCTTCCTGAGAGTTCTGAATGTGTTGCTTAACCCCAGCCACAGGTGCGTGCCTCTCCCATTCCTCGGACTCCTCACCTCTTCTTCCCGTTTGGAGCTGCTCATACCAGTGATTTCCTTGTTAAGGAATTTGATGGCATTGTACATGCTTGCTGAAAGGGGCCGGCACTGAGTCAGGAAGCTGCAACAACAATACTTCACATTTGTGCTAGTAGTCACAACTTCAAAAACTGTCACATTTAACAATTTTTCTTCAAAAAGAAGATAGAATTGAAAAATGAAAATAGAGTAGAAGGGCAAAAGAAAGTGTACTAGAAAAGGACTTAGTGAGGTGGGATTTGGAGTGGATGTTCTTACCTGATATATGGTTTTAGTTTATTCACAAGATCCCTTGAGAGTTCTTCATTGGGAGGTGTTGTGTAATCCTGAATCACCTAAAGATACACAAGTTAATCAGCAAAATGCCTCCCCCACCCCCAGTAAAGGTCTCTAAAATGGGTAGGGACAGACTTCACTGAGGAGAGTATTCTGAGGTTGAGAGTCATTCCCTCTTTGGCCTCACAGATTACCTTGGGTGAGAGAGACTGGGGTAGTTTTGTAGAAGGTGGGGTGGGGTCATGGGAGAGAACAGGACAGGGCATACCTGCTGCAAGGCTCGAAGCAGGGCAATACACCGGGCATTGGAACCAGTGACCAGGCCCTGGGAGTACTGCAGGCCGAGTCGCACCATGGCTGGGTGGATCACAGAGGATGGGATGCTGATGGGATGGTGGTGTCACATACTTTGCAAGAGAACTTGAGCACACACTGCCCCCCCGCCCCTGATGAGAAGGAACTTCCTTCACTAGCATAGCTGCCCCTATCCTCTTCCTCTACTGTTTTGTGTTGAGATCACACTTCTTCCCACAGAGCCCATATCAAATGTCCAGTCACTTAACACTGAGCTACTCAACCACCTCAAAGTTCAGAGTTACAACAATTTTCATAGGATCCTACCTCATGTACTGCGTAAGGGAGTTTTGTCTGCTGTATTGGGGTAGGTGAGAGAAGAGACTGACTTTGGATCCATAATCTTTTCGTGTAGGAACCTTGACAAAATAGGGAAATAGGATCAACGGCCCAGAGTTTAAAACTTAAGAAACTGGAAAGGAAGTGAACAATGAGACTACTTGGATCAAAAACTCTTCCTTCTCCAGGTTCTCACTTTTCCCTGAACAATTTTCCCCCCTCTAGCCCATCTCTTCTTTCTGTCCAGGTATCAAACCCATCTCTTACCTGTTGTCGCTCTGGTTTTTTAACAAGCCTTCTCAGAAGTGTGGGGTCATCAACCTGAGTGTGCTCAGGGAGACGCTTCACTCCTAAAAGATAGTGGTTATGTTTTCAAGACATTTGAGGTCTTGAAATGGATAATATACTCTCAGAGCATCAAGAGAAAGAGGATGGGGAAAAAAGCCAGGGAACACAGGGTCAAAGAAGAAATGGGTACAATGGGGTTGACAGAAATTTTGAACTTTGGTTCCCAAGGTGAGACTAGGTAAAGGAAAACTTTAATTATGAGGAAGTTTGAGTGGGCAACAATTAGGAGCAACAGAAGTTTTGAAATGAAGGGAAGATACCTGAAGTGGTTTCTCCAGCTGTGCTGGGGCAAGTCTGAGGAGGTGATCCTCCTTGTTCCCCTTTTCTTGCCTGTTTGAGGGCCCGCTCTGCCTCCTGCTTGGCTCGTCGCTCAGCACGAAGTTCAGCCTTGCTCCGTCCACCTGGAACTTTCTCCCCAAGAGTGCCCCCCACCTGACTGCCAGGTCCTGGTACTTCTCTGGTTGAACCTACTAAAGGTACAAGGAAGTGGTGCCCCAGCCAGGTGATATCTCTGCCCTGGGCCTCCTCTCCCCACCCACCCCGCGCGCCCCCTAAAAATCTTCAGTTTACGTAAACCTGTTTGTTTTTTCCACATCAGCATTTGAACTCAGGGCCTCACACTTAACAGTTGCTAGGTGGGTGCTCTTACCGCTTGAGCCACTCTGCCAGCCCTTTTTTGTGATTTTTTTTCTTTTTGAGATAGGGTCTTGAGAACGCTTTGCCCGGGGCTGGCTTCGAACCAGGATTCTCCTGATCTCTGCCTCCTGAGTTGCTAGAATTATATGCGTGAGCCACAGACGCAAGGTCCTGTTTGCTTTTCACTTGCTCAAACCAACTTTGTCTCTCCCACATCCCTCTACCACTGCCACACCCCAGCCATTTAAAAAAAAAAAAAAAAAAGCCTCCTCGCACCTTGACATTGGGCTGCAGATACAGCAGAGGCAGTTTCTGGTTCTGTCCCCTTTTCCTCCTTCCGTTTCTTCTTCTGCTGTTTCTTTTCCTTCCGAAGCTGCATCTTCTCTTCTTGAGTCATCTCCCTCCCCCCTGCCTAAGACACAGACATAGGACACTGCTCTTTCTCCCGAAATTCCAAACGCGAATCGATATTATTGGATGCTTACAAGATTCCCAGAAGATTAAGTCTCTAATCCTTTCTAACTTCCATAAGGTATCCCACAAGGATAGAAGCTTCTCCTCCAGGGTCAGAGTCACATACAGTTAGGTTCTCTAAAATCTGGCTTTACTGAGAAATAAACTGAAACGGGTAGAAGGAGCAGAATGAAACTCACACAGCTTCCAGCCTAGCGCTTGACAGGCAACTTGCGGGGTCTCCCTCACTTACCCCAGGCCGAGGAGAAAGCTCCGCCTTCATCCCAGATCCCGAATCTGCATCAGAAAACAGGGCACAAAGTGAGCCCGAGAGGCTCCGGGAGGGCTTGGGGGGACTCGTCCGACGCGCAGCTGTCTGCTGGGTTGGCATGACCACAGCTTCGCCGCCAGGCGCGAGGCGACCCAGGATCCGCGTGGGGACGCACTGCGCGGCAGGATCAAAGAACAGGAGGGGGAGGGCGAAAGGAGTCACCCACCCTTCTCACGGGAACCAGCCGGGACGCAGCGCGGGGCAGCGTCCGAGACTAAGTAGGGCCGGAACAGAACGACAGGGCCCAAAGGTGCTCAGGACCCAACATCAGCTGTCCGGAGCTAGTCGGCTCACGTACCAGTTGGTGAGCCAGGTTCCGTCACTCACCCTCGCGAACTGCCACAGCCACAGCAGCCATCGCTCTCCGCCTTGGCTCCGTCCGCCGCGGTCACTAGGCAGTCACAGTGTTTTGCTGTGTGATCACGGGAACTACAGCGCCCCCTGGGCTGGAGGTTCCACCAGCGACACCAGCTACGCGCAGCGCCTAGCGGACTACAACTTCCGGCGTGCACCGGACCCCGCCCCGAACCACGGGTGGTGAGGAGGGCCATCTCGACTTTGGGCTCCCAGTCCTGACAGTTTTCTCTAGACTACAGTTCCCAGCAAGCCGAGGTTACTGCTCCCAGAGCCGACGTCCTACCGCTTTCCCACCTCCGGTCTCGGGCGCCCAAAATGGCGAGTGAGGCTGCAGGGACTCGTTGAGCGGCGGAGGCGAGCGTGCAGAGCAGCTGCAGCCCTCACAGTCCGGAGCCCGGCCGGGCTTTGCCATAGGGAACATGCACTTTTCCATTCCGGAAACCGAGTCCCGCAGCGGGGACAGCGGCGGCTCCGCCTATGTGGTGAGGAGCAACCGGAGATGGGCCGGGGCGGGGATAACGGGCCGGAGCCCTCGGAACGGTCTCCGAGGCCCAGCTGGCACCCTTCGGACCTGATCCTGGGGGCGTAGCTGGGAACGTATCTCACGACTCAGAGTTGTACAGAAATCGCCCCGACTCCAGTTGCTCTTTATTTTTCGGTGAGACGGGTTTGAATTCGGCTTTGCACTTGCAAAGCAGGCGCTCTGCAGCTTGAGCCACACCTCCAGTCCAATTGGCTGTGGTTGATTTGGAGATGGGGGGGGCTCTCGCGAACTATTTGCTTTGGGCTGGTCTGGAACCGCGATTCTCCGGTTTTCAGCCTCCCAAGCAGCTAGGATTACAGGCATAAACCCGGTTCCAATTGGTCTTTTGTTGGCTGGTCGCCAACCCCCGCCACTCCACGGCTATTCTGATGGACGTCACTGTCCTCTCTGAGAGGGAGACTGCAGCACAAGCTGCCGAATTTCTCCAGACTGGCCAGACTGGGAGGAAAACAGGCTAACCAAGCCTCCAGGCGATCTCGGTGTTACTGAGACAGCTGTGTCAGACAACTTCCGGCCAGGGTTTTGGGAGGGGGGTGTTGTGTGGCGGGTAGCTAGGACGCCGACTCTAAAATGCCTGCTTTTGTGTCCTTAGGCTTATAACATTCATGTGAATGGAGTCCTGCACTGTCGGGTGCGCTACAGCCAACTCCTGGGGCTGCACGAGCAGGTGGGACTAGCACCCCTGACTGGAGATAGTTCAAGCCTTTTCCTACCCATGGGTTTCAAAAGCTTCATTTTCCCCCTCATGGGGTCACCCTTTAACCTCTGCCACAGGGAGGATGCAGTGCTTTATCTTACTTCTGACACTTCCGGGGAACTCCCTAAGAAGCTTAATATTCCTATACTTACATCCTTCTTCCTGCTTTTCTGACCCTTTTTTACTGCTTTCAGCCTTTGCCCCTGCATGGAAAAACTGCCAAGGCACATTCTTTCTGTTGTCTAAGCTGCAACTAAGAAATTCCTTTCCTTCTTATACAAACCACTCACCGATTTTCTTGTGTGTTCCTTAACTTATCTCAGTTTGTGTAGCTGTTCCAATTATCGTTATGTATCTGTGATGTACTGTTTCTCTGCCTTCATCAGATGTTGAGCTCTTTAACTCAGTAGAGAGCCCTGGTGCTACTGATAATTAGTGCTGCAACCCTGAGCAAGATACTTAAATTCTTTAGGCCTCAGTTTCTACAACTGAAAAATGGATTCCTTGATATGCAAAGTCCCTTTAAGTCCTAAGATACTTTATGAACATATTATGACTTTACTATTTGTGCACAAAACTATCCCCTATAGTTTTCTGCTTCCTGTGAGGAGTCAATGAATAGTCTTGCTAGATAAAGGGACTCCCTGACCCTCTACAAACCCTCCCCACAATATGGAGGGGTATTGGTTCTAGATGACCAAGGTAGACAGGGGGAGGACATGGTGAGTCTCCACTGACTCATTTTCTATGTTTATGTGAAGGGTTTTATCTCTTTCTCTACATAGCTCCGGAAGGAGTATGGGGCCAATGTGCTTCCTGCATTCCCCCCAAAGAAGCTTTTCTCTCTGACACCTGCAGAGGTAGAACAGAGGAGAGAGCAGTTAGAGAAGTACATGCAAGCTGGTGAGTGGTTGGAGGAAATTTAGGCTATTTTGAGGACCCTGGGGAAGAGACTAAAAACAGCTGACTCCATAGAAGGTCCTACGTTAATGTCTAGATCTGAGAAGTCTCTAATCTCTTATCTAATTAGCAAAGTAAATAGCCTTAAAGGATTTGTAATTATACAAGCAAAGGAACTTGGGCACTAAGGGCTGTGAAAAATATTAGTATTACACTAGTCTTCCTTTTTAACTTCCAACACCAAATAGTCCTAAAGCAACTTAGGTTGGTGGCGAGCTTACTTTGTATCTGATGTGTTTTACATTAACATTGTTATTTCCCTAGTTCTATAGACTGGACTCAACTAGATGGCAGCGAAGGGTGGGGCAGGTGAAGAATTTATGCAGTGAGTGAGGTGAGGTCAGCTGGGGGATGTGGCAGGCCACCATCAGCCCAGGAAATGGGGTTGGGGGATCTACTAAGAGGACTGGGGAAGGAAAGAGTGACTCCTAAGTTATTAGAACATCATTCTTTGGCCCCACAGTTCGGCAAGACCCATTGCTTGGGAGCAGTGAGACATTCAATAGTTTCCTGCGTCGGGCCCAACAGGTAAGGTTTTGGGTGGGACCCAGATTAAGAGAAGAACTTATTGGAAGGCTATGTCATTTTAATGACATGGTTACAGTCACCTGGCATTTTTTATGGAATGGAGCTTCTGCTGTACCACTGTCAAGGAAATCCCAGCCTCAATTTGATTGTGAAGACACTAGAGACACCTACAAAGAGAGTTTGGATGGGTCAGAGCTGGACCCTGCGCAGGGGTTAATAAAGAGGTGCCTCCCATCCCCATCTGCTCACACAGGAGACACAGCAAGTCCCTACAGAGGAGGTCTCCTTGGAAGTACTGCTCAGCAACGGGCAGAAAGTCCTGGTCAGTGTGCTAACTTCAGATCAGACTGAAGATGTTCTGGAGGTGAGGCGTTTGTTCAGCACAGCCACTCTGCCCCCTGCCTCCCAGGTCCCTGGCATGGGGAAGACTGGAACCAGCCAGTAGGATGAGCTGTACTTCCTGTCCCCAGGCTGTGGCCGCAAAGCTGGATCTTCCAGATGACTTGATTGGATATTTTAGTCTCTTCCTTGTTCGAGAAAAAGAGGATGGAGCCTTTTCTTGTGAGTTTCTCTGGACTTCTGCTTCATTGTGCTTCCAGTAGTGAGTTTCTGTCTCCTTGACTGTCCTCAAAATGGAGCGTTTCCTCAGGGTGCCTTTTTCATGGTTTCCCTTCAAGTCTCATCATGGTTTCTTTTGTTTTGTTGTTTTTTTAACCCATAGTTGTCCGGAAGTTGCAAGAGTTTGAGCTGCCTTATGTGTCTGTTACCAGCCTTCGGAGTCAAGAGTATAAAATTGTGTTAAGGAAGAGGTCAGGGCTGGGCCTGAAAAAGGGGGAGGGTGCTGGGCTGGATTATTGGCCACATTTTGAGACAGAATAATCTGAGTAGTGCTGAGTGTTTCCACCAGGCCTCCCAAAGCTTCCTCCCACTGTCCACCATTAATTAGCCCCTTGATAGTTCCAGATTGCTCCTGTTTTGCACTTCTTTTCCACTCTTCCTCTTGCCTTACCCCAGCTTAGCCCCATTACCCCTTTCCACCCCTTGGCCTCACAGTTATTGGGACTCTGCCTATGATGACGATGTCATGGAGAACCGGGTTGGCCTGAACCTGCTTTATGCTCAGGTGAGCTTGGAGCTGCCTCATAACCCTTGCCCTGAAAATTGACTCTGGTGTCCCACTCTCCCAAGAAAACACCTTTCATGTCTTTATTCCCAGTTCATGGGGAAGTCTCTAGAATACTGTCAGGACTCCTGGGACTACCTGTGTTCTTCCTACTTTATAAAATAAGGTCAATACCTTACTGCAGAGGACTTTCAAGTGTGGGATAGGGTCAGGCTGGACAGAGCTAACTGTAGACACTTCTGGAGCCACTAACTGGGAGCCCCCACCTTCCACCCTTGTCTCCACTGTAGACGGTTTCAGATATTGAGCGTGGGTGGATCCTGGTCACCAAAGAGCAGCATCGGCAGCTCAAATCTCTACAAGAGAAGGTCTCCAAGAAGGAGGTAAGCTTTGCCTGTCTCCCATCCAAGGGGTTGCTACCTCTAAGCTGCCCCATCCCCCTCCTAACATACCACACATGGTGGCCATTTTTCAGTTTTTGCAGCTGGCCCAAACCCTGCGGCACTATGGCTACCTGCGCTTCGATGCCTGTGTGGCTGACTTCCCAGAGAAGGACTGTCCTGTAGTAGTTAGTGCAGGCAACAGTGAGCTCAGCCTCCAGCTCCGCCTGCCTGGCCAGCAACTCCGAGAAGGCTCTTTTCGGGTTACTCGAATGCGATGCTGGCGGGTCACCTCTTCGGTGAGTTGGGTTGGGATGGGAGGCCTTCTGAGGTGGGGGCCTGGCAAGCCTTGAGCTTTAGGACTAACTGTAGTGGGTCATGATGGGAGACAGATTGGTGAGAATAATCTCAGCCTAAGTCACCTTTCCTTCCTAGGTGCCATTGCCCAGTGGAGGCACAAGTAGTCCAGGCCGGGGCCGGGGTGAGGTGCGCCTGGAACTGGCTTTTGAATACCTCATGAGCAAGGACCGGCTCCAGTGGGTCACCATTACCAGCCCCCAGGTGTGAGCCCACCCTCAGGGCTTGTATGGAGCTCCTTAGGACTCCATGTGAGTGGGAGCCATTGTCTTAGGGGGCTGGGCCCCCTAAGATGACCACTCTAGTCAGGCTGAGCTCTCTTCTTGCCCTCAGGCTATCATGATGAGCATCTGCTTGCAATCCATGGTGGATGAACTAATGGTGAAGAAATCTGGCGGCAATATTAGGAAGGTCAGCAGCAGGCAGGGACCAAGCAGTGGAGTGGTTATGCTCTCCTGGCCTTTTGTCCTGGTGCAAGGCTTTGCTTGAGAGGGTGGGGAGTGATTAAGGGTCTAAAGGGAGTGACCTTGCCCTCATCAGCACTTTCTGTCCCCAGATGCTGCGTCGGCGGGTGGGGGGTACCCTGAGACGCTCAGACAGCCAGCAAGCAGTGAAGTCCCCACCACTGCTTGTAAGTATTGTCAGTCAGTACTCTGGCTCTCAGTCTTGCCTCACCTCCTAAGTGAGTGTCTGATCCCTCTGCCTCCTCTTTCCCAGGAGTCACCTGATGCCAGCCGGGAATCCATGGTCAAACTCTCAGTGAGTCCCAGGGTTGGTAAGGTTGGTGTCTGTGGGGGCCTCACAAATTTGAGCCCTGACTCCACCCTGCCTTTGTTGCAGAGTAAACTGAGTGCTGTGAGCTTGCGCGGGATTGGCAGTCCCAGCACAGATGCCAGTGCCAGTGATGTCCACGGCAATTTCGCCTTCGAGGGCATTGGAGATGAGGATCTGTAGTCTCTACTGCTTGGATGTCTGCTCTCTACCCCAGAGGAAATTTACAGAAACTTGCCCTGTGCCTATGCCTCCAAGTTAGGGGGTCTTTTCCTTCCCCCTTCCTACTTTCCCTTTTTCTCTTGGCCAGGGGCCTCCTAACCTACCTTTCCTTACCCCCTGGGCTGGCTACACAAAAGGATTGCCCCTCTTTTTCAGAGCTGGTCCTTGATGCCAAATTAGCATTTAGTATTTTGCACAAAGTCCAAGGGACCATGGCTACTTGCCTTGGGGAGGAACCATCGCCCCTCCCCGGGCTGCTTCTGGCTTCTTGGGGCTATGGGCAAGGGAATGGGCAGAGGTCTGTGTATGGTCTAGCCCAGTTCCCTGTCATTAAACTCAGCCTGACTGCTGCCTACCTCTGGTTCCCTCACTGCCCCTGCTGCCCCCATTCACAGCATGAGCTACTGTGCTAAGGGTTTATGGCCTGACTTGTGCCTGCCATTGCCAATTCAGCATAGACATGGCTTTGTTAGTGTTTCCTTTATTATAAAGCACTGAAATAAGTTAAATAAACAGGTGGGAGGCTGGGCAGTCCCCCAGCCAGTTCATCCACAGCCCTTGGGAGCAGTGGAGGTGAATACAAGGCCCTTCTCACTGAGCTCATGAAGTACATGGGCCAAGGCCCCCTGGTCCATATTGGCCCCTGCCCATGGGATTTGGGCTGGTCCATATTGTGCCTAGGTTGGTCTGTATGGAGCCCCTGGCCAGCGGGGGAGAAAGAAGGTGGTTGCTAGTCCATCTGTATAAAATGCAGGAAGGGTAGGGCTAATCCATAGTGCCCCAGGGAAGAAGGACCTAGTTCAAGGTGAGTCTGTATGGAGAGCCCGGCTACCAGTAGCACCCAGGGCTGTTGAACCCCGAGTGCTCAAAACAGAGGGTGGGCTGTGAGGTGGGGCCCAGCCCTCAGGGGCAGAGAGGCCAGGCCCTCCTGCCCCACCGTGGCCATGCACCTTCTGGTGGCGCTTGTAGTTGTCCCAGTGGCCTGTTGTGTAGGCGCAGGTAGCGCAGCGGAAGGGCTTCTCGCCTGTGTGCCTCAGCATGTGACGTTTGAGGTTCATGCTCTGGTTGCAGCTATAGTTGCAAAGGCTACACCGAAAAGGTTTGTCACCAGAGTGGATGCGACCATGACGTTTGAGGTTGGCCAGGTTGCCACAGGCGTAGGGACAGAGGGGGCACTTGTAGGGCTTCTCTCCCGTATGGACGCGCTGATGCCTTTTCAGATTATCCAGATGAGCAGAGGCATAAGGGCAGCGGGCGCAGCGGAAGGGTTTTTCACCACTGTGTGTCTTCATGTGCCGTGCCAGGTGGTTGGGATAGTGAGTGGCAAAGGGACAGAGACTACAGGCAAAGCCTTTGTCACTGGGGCCCTGGGGCCCCCCACTGGCACCCCCTCCAGCCTCTCCTCGCATGCAGCGCCCACACATAGCAGCTCCTAGCCTACTACCCTCGCCCTCCTCCAGCTCTTGTCCACAACCTCTGCAGGTCCAAGGGAACAGCAGTTCTGGCAGTGGTTCTGATCCAGTTCCACACAAGCCCTCCCCTTCACCCCGTATCTGCCCACAGTCTGGCAAGAAACTAGCACCACCTGGTGGCACGTGGAGGCTCAAATCTGGAAGGAGCAGAGCATCTGTGGGAACAATGAGTTGAGACATGGGCTATTAATCCAACTATCTGAAATGCTACCCACCCAGTCCCAGAATCTTTGGTCCCTGGCCTTTTACCTTCAGATTGCCGCGGCACTGCTCCCTCCTGCTCTGTGGGACTGGGAGGCCGGGTTGGTCGTGGAGCACAGCAGCGGAAGCCACAGGTCGGGCAGGGAGGAGTTGGGGGCCCGGTGTGGGTACGCTGATGCCGCCTCAGGTTGCCCAGGCTGCTGCAGGCAAAGGGGCAGTGGGGACAGCGGTAGGGCTTCTCGCCAGTGTGGGTGCGGGTATGTCGTGTCAGGTTGACGAGCTGGGCTGAAGCGTAGGGGCAGCGGCCACAGCGGAACGGCTTCTCCCCGCTGTGTGTCTGCATGTGCCGCTTGAGGTGGCTCGAGTAGTGGGACACGAAGGCGCAGAGGCGGCATGAGTACAGTAGCCGTGGGGGCAGCGGGGGCCCCCCACCCGGCCCTCCTGCCCCACAACACGGCCCCTCACCTGTCGGCCCCCCACACAGCTGGCAGGCTGGGCCTGGCCTCTCACCCCTGGCCTCCCCTGGACCCCTGGTGGGCTCCTCAACTTCACTCTCAGCACTTAGTGCTCGGCCGCCCCCAGACTCGTCGTCACTCAGCCCATAGGGAAGCCCAGGTCTGGCCCCCAGAGAGTCTCCTGGTGAAATAGAAATGAGATGAACCATCAACATGGTTTCAAAACCAGGATCCAAAAGCTTCATTTTTCATTTAGGGTCCCATTTGCTTGGTCCCACCCTTCTCTTACTTCACTTCCCTCTCAGGGATTGAGATCTGTCAGGAAACTCAACATGAACTACCTTTGAGCCTGACAACCTAGTAATGGCAGAATGGAGCTATACCTAGTTCCACTGAATGGAAACGAAGAGGTCACAGTGGGCTGCAGACTGACATGAGGCAATCATGTAATTAATTCTCAGGATAAGAATAAAAATATAAAAGAACCTGAGAACTTTTTCTATATTAGTAAGGCCCCTTTTAGTAAAAGGCTAATTATAAAGTAAAATCTATCTTAAGAGGGAGGCAAAATTTGAAGGGAGGTGCAAACAAAGTAATGCATGTCAATGCCTTTCAAAAACGTCTCTAAGAAGTGGCTAGCCACAGGTCAGACAGGGTAGGGTGATGGATGCCAAGATCACAGAGAAGAGGAGTAAGGAGAACACTTAAGGGCAGAAACTACAACCTCTCAATACAAAAGGAGCTTATGCTGCAGGTGAATGGAATTTAAGTGTAGCCAAATATTAGCTCGATTTACACAGAAGTCCCTTCCACGAACCTCTTCAAAGTACACACACACACTAGGGATGGGGACGAGGTTATTAAAGGGGCATTTTTTTTTACCAGTTGGCTCCATACGATTCACCCACCCTTCTGTTCACATCATCTTTGGTCCAGGCCCCAACTTCACCTCAGCAAGTGATGGAGCTGATCAGACCAGTGAGCAAATGAAGAAGTCTAAATCAATCCTAGGTTTATGGCAGTAAGTGGTGTTCTGGTCACTGAAACTAAACCCTAACTTGTCCCCTACAGGGTAAGGGTCCCCAGCGGCCACTAATCCTTACCCAGGTCCCCAAATCCTACCTTCAGAGTCTCTCTCAAAGCCCATGAGCTGTTCGTTGTTGCCGTCACCTTCCTCCTCTTCCTCCTCTTCTTCCTCCTCAAACTCCAGATCCTGGCCTAGTAGCAAATCACTCTCCAACACCAGGGCCCCGGGTCCTTCGTCGAGGGAGTCTTCAGTGTCCACTGAAGAGGGGAGGGAGATTGTAGATTCTCCCTCCCAAGCCGTGCCCATAATCCGAACCCGGGAGCCAGCAGCCCTGGACCACACTTCCCGTACTCATTGACCCTCTCGGGTTCCCTTAGTACCTCGGTGGGAAGGTAAGAATCCAGATCGCCCGCCCATTCCTCAGGAGTCCCCCACCACCCTGACCATATCCCACTCCAATGACCCTACCCCCACTCCTCCCCCTTCAAGGCCCCTGACCCCTGACCTTTGACCCCCTCGCATTTCACGGGCTGCGGGTGGCTTTGCTTCCTTCGGGGCATCGTGACCGGCTCCAGCCCGACGCGCCTCTAGCCCGCGGCCGCCCGGCCCCGCCCCTCCCAGCACGGCCCGCCCGCCCGCTCTTGGTCTCAGGGGCCGCGGACAGCCCCCATGCAGCGGCGCGGGCCCTGGGCAGCCCCCGGCCCTGGCCCCGGAGCCCAGCTCAGGCCGCTCCCGCCGCCGCCGCCGCTTCCATTCATGGAGCCCCCTACCCCCCCCTCCGGAGACCAGCTGGTACCTCCGTCCCCGCTTCCGCTTCCGCCGCCGCACAGCCGCACGGGACGCGTAGTCCTCCGGGCACGGAGCCGCGAGCTCGGCCCCGGCGTGACCAGGAAGTGATTGTGACGCGCAGCAAGGCAGCCAATCGGCGCTGCAGAGCCCCGGCCGGCCAGCCGGGTGCGCCCTACCCACTCCAAGAAGGAACCAGGAAGTCACTTCTGACTCCAGCCAGCGGCGAAGGTGTGCGCTCCGAAGGGCCAGCCTGCCTGGCAACCGCTTGCTCTGGCGTTACCATGCTGGCCCCTCTGCTTACCAGCGCGCGGGACGCACACCACACACGCACGGGGAGGGACTCGCCAGAGGCTCCGCTTGCGGCCACGTCTGGGGCCACGGCAGCAGAGAAAAAAAGGACACCATGGCACGATTAGGTTTTGGCCTTTAGTCTGAAAAAGTGTTGATTGAAAGTGTACAACAGAGAGCGGGTGCAAGCGGCTGGGGGACCATGGAGCCGCCAATAAAAAAGAATGTCCTTAAATAAAGTGTTCACAGAGTAAAAACCAGAACCACCAGTCCTTCCCTCCAACACAACAGAGCACAGGCACAGAACCCACCGGTCATGAGCCCAAAGGAGCACGAAGGAGGCTGGAGAGGACATCAGAGGCTCCATCCCGCCATATGGAAGGAGAGCCCTCTTTGGAATGGGGTGAGGAAAGCCACCCAGCTCCCCCTGCACACCTCATACCCACTGCTAAGGCTAAAGGAAAAGACAAAACTCAGTCTCAGGTCCGGAGGGCTCAGAAAACAGTCCAGGTGGGCAGGGATCTGGAGAACTGCTAGTCCCGCTTGGCCTTCTTCTTGTCACTGTTGCCATTCTCTTCAGCCCCCTCACCAGAGAGTGCCTCCTCGAGTTTCCGCTTGCCACTCTCTGGCTGGGGCTCTGCAGTGTTGCGGGGCTTGAAGCAAATGATGATGCAGGTCATGTTGTCACACCCTGTACCATCCCCAGAAGTGTCTGGTGCCAGGCACTGATCCAGCAGCTACAAAAAGGAAGGGGCAGCTCAGCCACAGGGTTTAACACCTTCCTGGGAATGTATGGTCCCACAAGAGGGCTGGCTGTGCTAACACAGGGCAGTGGAAGGAGAGGAATGGGCAACATAGGTATCACAAAACAGCTACTTCCAAATCCATGAGGTATACAGTTGTATACCTTCAGGGACATGAAGAAGTGGAGCTTTTTAGTCAAGGTCTGGCATCTGTGGGTAATTAATATGCCCAGGCTTTGGTTTTAGCTCAAGTGAAAACAAAAAAACTTTGGCTGTGCAGAGCAGACACCCTCTCACCCTCAGACTCACCTCTTCCACGATGGATGACAATAACCGAAGCTCCCCATTTTCATCACGCTGGCTTATCTTTGATTGAATAAAGTCTACAACTTCCTGGCTGCTCATCACATTCCTGGGGTCAAAAACAATAAATAGCCAGACTCATCTTTAGTCCCATCAAGGCGAAGCAAAGGAGCAGAGGTGGTAACCTAGGCCAAATTCAACACCTACAGATTCTCCTCAGCCTTAGACTTAGTGGTTTTGACTCAGCATGAGGCCTGCCTTGCCTCTAGTTCTGCAGCATTTCTGATCCCTACAGAAGTAACACTACAGAAAGGGCATTTGAGGGTGTTCCACCAGTGCTCACCAGATGCCATCACAGGCAATGACCATGAATTCATGGTCATCAGTGAGAGTCAGCACCTTGATGTCAGGAAGGGCTGAAATCATCTGTTCCTCAGGTGGCAGGTTCTTGTTTCTTTTGTAGAAGTGATCTCCTGGAGGAAAGGAGGTGACAAGTAGTTTGAATACTTCTCACACACTTGTGTTTTGAGTCAGGTCAAGCCTTGCTACTCATTCCTTGCCTTCTTAACAATCTATTGGAATGGAGAACTGGGTTCTAGTTTTTCTAGTTTCAGCCCTGTCATCAGGTTGCTGAACTTTAAGTAGCTCATCTGTTTTTTCATCATCAAGGAGACATGAGGATAATGTCTATCTTAGCTGTTTCACAAAGATGTTTAAGAAAAGAGGTACAAGATACAAAATTAAGTTGAAAGGCACAAGGGCTATAAAGATTAAAGTTTGCTACTAAGAAGTTTAAGACAGAAAGCAAAACCCAAATCTTCCTCATGGTTTCTTGGCCCTTACCAATGGCCCTGGAGAGGTTGAGGCCCCCATTGACTCGTCCATCCATAGTGACCTTGCCACCGGCATTCTTGATGCGTGCTAGCTCCACTTCATCCTCTGGTTTATGATCATAGGACATGTCTAAAGCTTTGCCAGCTTCAGACACCACACAGCGAGAGTCTCCTGCATTGGCTACAATCAACTGCTTCCCTCGTATCAGCGCCACCACTGCTGTTGTGCCACTGTCAGAGCCAGGCTTAAGAGAAAGAAAGGGAGCCTTGTGGGGGCTTGTGGACATGAGTGCTTCCTTGATGCACTCCTGACCAGTCACCTATACTAGAGCTTTAACAGGAAGAGCACAAATTTCATCTCTCCAGAAACAACAGCATGCTCCCCTACTTTATGGTATTGGGGAATGAACCCAGTCCTCCCTCTTTAGATAATTCTACCCAAAAGATGTGCTACCTAGTTTCCCTTGCAGAATAAATCCACCTGACCATGATTCCAGTACTAAGATAGCAAGGGGATCAATCTCCTTAAAATTGGGATTTTCACAATTGCTGTTGGTTTTTCCAGATTCACTTCCCCACACACCTCCTCTTTGCCTTCCATCCCAGGCACCATCATTTCTTCTTCTTCTTCTTCTTCGTCCTCTTCAGCCTCCTCGGTATCGTCCTCATCTTCCTCATTCTCTGCCTCTTCACTGCTGTAGCCATCCTCCTCCTCACTGCATTCCTGCCAGAAGGAGGATCCCAGGCTGCTGAGACTGAGATAACCCCCTGCCCTCCCCCACAAACTCATACTCAGAACACCAAAAGGCCCTGACTGAACAAAGGTCCTTAAAACACTGAAAGATACAACTATATGATCATGACAATCGGGCAGAAGAGAGGGCTAGGATGAACATAACTGACACCTTGAACTGGGCTCAGCAGTCACCAGCAAGAAGGCCCTTGGAAGGCCAAGGCTACCACCCAAAAGCACCTTCCAGGGAACATGGCCAGAAAATAAATTGTCCAAAGAAAACACCCAAATATCTAAAGCAACAACAACTACCTTCTTATTCTCTCTCTAGGAGACAGACTCTGAAAGGCCAGAACTAGATCTGTTATCAACAAAGTAAGAGGTAAGAAGGCTAATAGTACCTATGATGGCAGAGATAATGCATTCCAAAGGCTAAAGCTTAGCATACAGCGGGTCTTTAGGGGATGATGTTAACTAAAATAGGAGAAGGAAGAGAGTTGAAAGCTATGGATGGCAGCCACACAGGTCCTCTCTGCAACTTCAGCATCTGCCTGCCCTCACAGGCCCTTACCTCACTGTCTTCCTCTTCCTCCTCCGCCTCATCTGACTCATCCTCACTGTCCTCAAAGAACTTGGACTTAGCAACTCGAGGCAGCTTGTCGGAGGCTGAAGAACAGGAAGGCCCAGCCTCACCAGTGGGATTGCCAGGCTCACCAATTTGGCCTGCCTCAGTCCCACGTTCCGAGTTGGAGGAAAGGCCTGTGTAGGCCTTGGCTGTGGGGCCATTTTCCTGGGAAGGAGTTTCCCTAGATGGGTCCTCAGGTCCTGCCTCCCCATTGAGGCCCTGGGACCCTGGTTCCTCGCCTGTCCCAGCTCCAGATTTGCTGTGGGGAGGGCCCTTTTGACAGTTCTGCCCGTAGCGTGTCAGCAGCTCTTCAATAGTCATGGTAGCCTCTTCATGCAGCAATGCAGCCTCCTCATTGTCCACTGCAGGGAAGAGGCTAAATCAGAGCCCCCATGCCAAACTCCTCATGGGATCAGTCCCTCTCACTACCTCAGTATCCCTTGCAGCCTGAGTTCCAACTTCCCCACAACCTCCCACTCGTTATCAAGCCTCAAAAGAACATTTTCTACCTTCCTTCTCCTCCATAGACCGCTTTTGGTCTTTGTCTTTTACCCCTTTCTCAAGTCAAAGTCACTTTATTTCCCTTCTCACCTCTAATCTGGTATTTCTCAGTTGTAACCTCTTTTCTAGCTGAGGACCCAGGAAACCCACAATGCTAACTTAGGACTAGGCTAGGGTCAAGGATTTAAAGTCTAGCTAATAACTACTCCAGTACTGGGGGCAGGGGAGAGGGGGAGGGAGAAGGACACATAAATAACAACAGGAACCAGGAAGACCCCATCAGAATAACAAAAGATAATGTACGCAAAAATGCTTACAACTACACAATGGTAGTTGACAACAGTAGCTTGACAATGGTTAATATCTCTCGATCCTTTTCATAATCATGTATAGTGCAGAACACCTGGCTCCCCAGGTCACTAGGAAGCCATCGTGTCTTGAACTGATAATAAAATGCTGATTTCCTCTCCAACACAAGATGCTATACTCACCATCATCTTCATCAGCTACTTTTTCTTTTTCATCCTCATCCTCAGTAGGTCTCCCTGCAATCTGTGCCAGTTCCTTAATGACTTCCTCAGTGGTCAGTTTAGCATCAATAGCCAAGAAGGCATCTTCTAAAGCCTAAATATAAGCAAAACAGTATAAGTTGAGTGTAGGAAAATGTGCAGTGGGTACAAAACAAATTGCCTATATATACAATCCTGGGCACAAGGATGGGATTCAAATTCAAGTGTTAGCCAGCTCCACTAGGGTACACTCACAGACAAGTAAAATAGTTCAAAGGCCTGAGAATAATAAGGTAGGTCTAAAAAAGACCCAAGTGGGAATAAGCTTGTTTTAAGCATATGATTCTCTAAGAACAAGTGCATTAAATAAGCAGCAGACAGGGGACAAAGAGAAAAGAAAATTCTCCAAGTGGAGAATTAACAGTGGGGGACACCTACCTTCTGTAGCTTGCCTTCCTTATAGGCCTTCTGATCTTTGATGATGTCAGGAAGATATTTGG